TCCAGGGGTCAGTCCAGGGAGTCAGTCCGGGGGATCCAGGACTCAGTTCCTGGAGGACCCAGGCGGAGGGGTTCCCTACAGTCTAAACCTGGGGATGGGCCCCACCATGCCCTCTCCCGGGCAGCACCCACTCTCCGCCTCGGATGGATATGGGTGGTCCCGGTAGACCCTCAGCCAGCACCCCCACCCACCCCCGGCTCACAGGGCCTTGAAAAGTCAAATTGCAGGGTTAGGATAGAACACGTGGGACATGGTGACGCCAGACGCTCATGCTTCTGTTTTCCTTGTATAATAAACAGAACCACAAGCGACCACATAAATATAACCACAACGAAAAGGAAAAAGTCATGTTCCCTGTATGCCAGTGTGACAATGACATGGGTTACGTATGCCCTGTGTGCCAGTGTGACAGTGACGTATGCCCCTGCCTCGGGGTTCCTTCCAGGTGGCGCAGCCCAGGGGTGGGTGTGCACTTAGCCTGGTTTGTCTCTGTGTGTTTGGTATCATTTTCTTGCCTAAGTTGATTTCTCGAGGTGAAATGACTGTACTCTAGAAGGCCTTGGCCTGCCGGCCCAGCTGCGCCGTGGTACAGTTTGAGGGGTCCCGGGCCTGCGTGGCCACAGATGGGGCTGCGTTTCTTTCAGGATTGAGGGAGCTGCACTTTTTGGAGCAACCTGCCCTGGCAAGAGCAGTCGAGGGCAGACAACTGCGGGCACTGAACCAGCACCAATGAGACGGGCAAGAGCGAGGAGGGTGGGGCACGCTCACCTGGCACGGCCAGCTCCTCTGCCAGCCGCTGGCCAAAGGTCTGGGCGCAGAGCACACACTCATCCATGCTGACGCCCCTCACGGGGATGAAGGGGCAGACATCCAGGGCCCCCATGCGGGGGTGCTCCCCTGCGGAGAGACGGCCAGGCCAGGCAGGAGGCTGGGAGTGGGAGTGGGTGGGACCCCCACGTGGCTCTCAGACCCTCTGTCCTCTCCAGTCTGGGCAGCCCCCTGTCCACACACCCAGCTAGCTGCTCACACTGACCACAGGGAGGAGGCCGGCCCTGGGCACTCCCAGCCCTGCCCCAGCGGCAACATCAGTCCCTCTGGGATGACGGACATTCCTGGACAGTCCTCCCAGCCAGTGTCGGGAGCTGCTCAGTCCAGGAGCAGCAGCAGCCTGAGCAGGTGGTCTGGCACTTTTGGGATAAACCTCTCCCTCTCCTAAGTCACAAGAACAACTTTCTGACGGCTGCAACGCTCAGCTCTCGGGAAGCCCCTGGCCAGCCTTAGAGACTCCCTGAAGCAGGGAATCCACATGCTGTTTCCCGAGCATTCTTCTCACTAGCTGAGTCCCTTGCTGTGGCTATACCAGGCTGTGGGGCATGGCCCACCCCTGGGGACGCCAGCCCCACCTTTGCCTCCACAGTCCGGGGCTGGTTGCTTTGAGATAAGCTTCTCGTCCGTCCACCACTAGGGGCCACTGTGCGTCCCCGGCCTCTCAGGAGCTGTGTCCACACACCTTTGACCCTGCCCGCCCACCGAGCTGTTTGGCTTGTGGGCTGTTGGCAGGTCAGCTTCCGGGCAGCCCTTCCCCGTCCAGGGCCTGCTCCAAGAGCAGCTCTCGGCCCCCGGGCGTGTGGGCAGATGGAGAGGCCACAGACCTTCCCCGCACGGCCCCTCCCCCACCCAGCCTTGGAGGTGGCCCGGTGCTGCGGGGCGTGACGACCTGGGGTCCCCAGAGCACAGCCTTGCAGTCGGGGGATGGTGACCCCCCACACTCCAGGGTCCTCCGAGGAGAGCCAGAGCCAGCCCCGCTGGACCCCACATTCCACACGTGGGCCCTGGGCCTCCTGCCCCTCCCAGGACAAGGACACTGGGACAGGGCTCAGCCCCGACACCCCGCGACGCGGCGGCCACGGGAGAGCCGGAGCCTCACCTCGGTGCCTGCTCATGTCGATGAGCCGGGAGGCAGCGCGGGCCGCGTTGAGGGCCCCCTCCACCACGCACGCCGGCGGCCCCACAAAGGTGTACACGGTGCGGTTAGTGGAGGGGCCGGCGTCCACGTCCAGCAGCACGCAGCCCGGGGTCTGTGCGATGGCTCCCGAGATGGCATCAATCACCTGGACACAGGCCCGGCCCCCACACCTCAACCTCCCCGTTCGAAAGAAGGAAAAGGAGCTTGGAGGTGGCTGTACCCCCACACCCAAACGTGGGCTGAGGAGGCGGGCCAAGCCTGTGGGGACCCCCCGAAGAGCTGAACTGCCTCCGCAAACACCTGCACAGTGGCTGTCCCGGGGCTTTCACAGAGGCCCAAGCCTGGCCCCTACAAGGCGGCGCTGCTGGCGGTGCCTCCAGGAGAAACGCCCCAGGTTCTGCCCCGACAGGCAGGCAGATGCTGGAGGCCTGGCTGGGGAACCAAGAAGGTGACCACAGGCACAGGGCACGGAGGACCGGCCCCCAACCCCCGAGCAGAGGAGGGGCCAGAAGGGCAGGACAGCTGGGAGCAGGGGCTCGGCCCCAAATCTCCATGTCCCCGGGCCTTGCTGGGGGCTGGGATCCCGGCGTGATGAGGCCTCCCTGCACCCCTGCAAGTGACCCCTGCGACCCGGTGCTGCCCTCTGGGAGGCCTTCCAGGTGGCCCTTGCGGCCTGCACTTGTTCTGGAGGAGTGTGGGCCTCGGGACCATGGGGGGCGAGAGGCCAGACCTGGGGGCCTGCCTGACCCCTCTGTGCTGTCTCCTTTCGGGTCCAGTGGGGATGGTGGCAGCAGCTGCCTCCCCAGGCTGCCAGGCGGGGGTTCAGTCATTTATGATAGCTCCAGGGTGGCCTCAGGGGCCATGCTGGGCAACCTCACGTGACTCCATTCAGCCCTTCTCATCAGTGTTAGGGGCTTCACTTGAGTAGGGGAACAAGGCCCTTTGAGGCCCAGAGATCTGCCCAAACCCCCACTGGAAGCACCAAAAGGCTCCTGGAGCCACAGCCAGGCCTCAGCACCTAAAACCCGCCATCCTGTTCCACCTATCCCTGGGTCAGGCACTCCCACGTCCCCCCAACCACAGGACATCCTTAGGGCCCACGGAGAGTGGCTCCTCCCCTGCCAGGCCATGCCACGCCACACCTAGCCCACCGCCCCTCCACGGCCTGGGCCTCAGCTGCCCCACTGGCCCCTGGACGCTCCAGCAGCTCCTCAGGGCCTCACCTCCTGGTTCTTCCCCTCCGAGAAGTTGGGGACGCACTCCACCAGCTGGGACATGGCCAGTACCTCGATCTAGACGCTCCTTTCTGGGGCAGACAGAAGCAGGGGCCAGGGCTCCCAGCCACAGCCAGGACCTTTATACACCGTCCGGCAGCACCTCCCACAGCTTCTCATTAACCAGCGAGTCACCACGAGGAGCAAGCAGCGAGGCCATGGTCCCTGCGCAGGCGGGGAGCGGGCGCTGCAGAGCCACACTGGGTGCTGTCCACCCGGAGGGGACGGTTCCACTCAGCCAGAGTGTGGGTTCCCTGGAAAACAGTGCATGCCGGCGCAGAAGGGTGCGCGCTGAGGGTCCCCAGGAGCATCAGGCCAGCCTGACTGGAATCCCCGCCTGACGAGGCCTCCCTGTGCCCCTGCAGGTGACCCCTGCCGGTGACCCCTGTGACCCTGTGCTGCCTTCCGAGAGACCTTCCAGGCCACCCCTGGGGCCTGCGCTTGCTCCTGAAGGAGCCTGGAACTCAGGGCTGTGGAGGGCGAGAGGCTGGTGTGAGGCCCTGGCTTGCAGAACCCAACTGAGGTCAGCTCAGACAGGAGTGTACAGGGGAGCAGGCATGTGAGAGTGAGCATGGATACACGTGAGCGTGGGGCAGGGAGCACACGTGTGAGAGTGAGCACGGATACACGTGAGCACAACGCAGGGAGCATGCATGAGAGAGCATGGATACATGTAAGCGTGGGGACCTGAATGTTGTAACTACCAGCCAGAGCTGGGCCCCCAGCAGTCCCTGTGTCGTGTGGAGCTCTGAACTGTCGGAGTGTGACAGCCCTGCCTTCCCCGAGAGTGTTGCTGAGACAGTTGCTAGGACCAGGCTGAGCACGCGGACTTGTGCATCATGAGCCAAGACTCCCTCGAAACATGGCAAAGGCCCCTCGTTTCAGGGCATTTGGAACCGGGTATCCCCTCAGCCCCAAGGCCCCGACAATTCACTGAGGGCCCTGTCTCCTCGATGTTCTGGCCTCCTGCAGGGAGATGACCAGGGGAGGGGAATTGATGGGTAAGCTTCCCTGCTCCCTGCTCTGGGATGGTGCCAGGTGCACCTCACATGGTTTCGTGGCTACCGGGCCCTCGCCCACCCCCAGCACCCCACATGGTCCCCAGGGTTCCCCAGCACTTGCCCAGCCCCAGCAACCTCCATGGTCTCAGGGCTCCCCAACGCTCGCTCCTACCAGCACTCCCCACTGTCTCGGGGCTGCCCTGCACTGGCCCACTCCCTGCACCCCCCATGGTCTCGAGGCTCCCCAGCGCTCACACCCCCAGCACCCCCGTGGTCTCAGGGCTCCCCAATGCTCGCTCCCCCCAGCACCACTCCCTACTGTCTCGGGGCTGCCCTGCACTGGCTCACCCCCCAGCACCCCCATGGTCTCGCGGCTCCCCAGCGCTCGCGCCCCCAGCACCCCCATGGTCTCGGGGCTCCCCAGCGCTCGCACCCCCAGCACCCCCATGGTCTGGGGGCTCCCCAGCGCTCGTACCCCCAGCACCCCCATGGTCTCCGGGCTCCCCTGCCTGTGCTGTCACCTTCTCAGTCCTCAGGCCCCGCTTCACCCTAACGCTCTGCTGTTGCCCTTTCGAATTTTTCGCTTTTGAACAAGGGGCTGCGTTTCCAAGTTGCCGGCAGGAGCGCGTGACCCTCCGCCAGAACCAAATCCCCGCTCCAGCTTCATCTGGGGAAGCCCACGCTGGGACAGGCCTCGACGCCCTCCAGCTCTTTCGGGCTCCCCCGTGCCCTCTGAGAGCCAGAGGTCAAGGCAGACAAGCAAACAGGTGACTTTAATGAAGGGCGGCTAGCGCTTCGCGGAGGGCCGGCGGGGGGCCCCAAGGCGGCGGGACAGGCGCCCGCTCCGGCCTCGCGCGGGGGGCGCGGCTCTTCCCCTCCGCGAGTTCGCGAGATGGCGCGGCCCGGCGGGAGCGCACAGGTGCACGGCGGGCGGCGCGGCGGTCACCAGGCGAAGAGCGGCTTGCTGTCCTCCTTGGAGAGCTCGCACAGGCAGTTGAGCAGCAGCAGCGAGTCGCCCAGGAACTTGGGGGGCACCACGTCGATGACCAGCTTGCGCAGCGCGGCGGGGCTGCTGTGCAGCGGGTTCGCGCGCAGGTCGGGCCGCTGCTTGAGGATCCCGTAGGTGTTGATGAGGAACTCGCTGAAGGCCGGGTGCACGTCGCGGCTGTAGCCCAGCTTCTCCAGGCGCGCGCTCAGGGCCAGGTAGCGCTGCGTCAGCTCGCGCAGCTTCTTCTCGTCCACGGAGCCGTCCAGGGACTTGATGGAGGTCTGCGGGGAGTTGGGGGCGGCCTCGGGGCCTCAGGCGGGGCTTCCCGGCCCAGAGCCCACCCCTGCCCGCCCGCCTGGGCCCCGGGGGTCCCCTCGCGCGGCCACCGCCAGGGCAGGAGCCGAGACGGGCCTGCCCGGGACGCCCGAGCGTCCGCCGCCTCCGGCCGCACGCTCCCCGCGGGGCGCACCTGCTTGATCTTCTCCGGGATGTTGGCCACGGTGAAGCCGTACAGCCGCGTCACGCCCGGGAACACGTAGGCCAGGATGCGGCGGTCCAGCTGGAAGGCGATCTCGCCCACCACGCGCGCGTCCTTCTCGGCGCCCGCGAAGCTCTGGATCTCTGCGGGAGGAAAGGCCCAGGACAAGGTCGGGGGGCGCGAGGATCCACTGCCCCCGAGGGCGCCCCCGGCACGTGGGGGCGGCTCCTCCACCCCCTCCCGCGCCTGCCACCACCCGCCACTGTCTGGCAAATACAATGGGAAAGAAAAGGAGCGTCAGAAAGTGCCGCCGCCGGGCAGCTCGGCTGTCCCTGCTCCATGTCCTCGCGTGCTCTCGGGAAACGGAAGCAACTCCCTTCTCTGTCCCTTTGGGGTGAGGTAAACCCTTTAATCTCGCGCGTGGGGACTGGTCCCCTGTCACGAGGGAGCTTGCCCCCGCTAGGACAGAGGAACCCGGCCCTAGGAGGCAGGAATTCGGATGGGTCCCCTCCAGTGAGGAGCAGAGCCAGTCGGCTTGGCTAGGAGGACGTGGGGATTCCTTCTGTCTTGGCAGCCTCTGGGCATCAAAGGCTGCTTTCATGTTTATTAATAAAATTATTTCATTTTTTTCCTGCCTCTGAGAAGAGTATTGCTGGATTGGCAGCAGTTTTTATTTTAAACAGAGTCTCACTCTATCATCATCCAGGCTGGAGTCCATTGGCCTAGCCTCTACTCACTGCAACCTCCACCTACCTGGCTCAAGCGATTCTCCTGCCTCAGCCTCCCAAGTAACTGGGATTACAGGCGCCCGTCACCATGCCCAGCTAATTTTTTGTATTTTTAGTTGAGATGGGATTTCACCATGTTGGCCAAGATGGTCTTGAACAGCTGACCTCCTTGGCCTCCCATAGTGCTGGCATTACAGGTATGAGCCACCGCACATGGTCACTCTATTTTAATTACTTCCTGGACATGACTCAGGAGGCTCCAGTGCCCCCACAAAACCTGCTTCAAATCCCCCTCCCCAGGGCAGCCTCTGATGGCATCTGAGTCCACCACAGCACGTGTCCTCCATCTTTTTCCTGGTGGATGGGAAACAGCATCTCATTTGCATTTCACTAATGACTAGTGATCAAACATCTTTTCAAGTGCTTTTTGGCCGTGTATGTACTGTATTTTCTTTGGAGAAATATCTGTTCAAGTTCTATACCGATTTTTAATTGGATTGTTAGTCTTCTTACTCTTGAATTGTCACAGTTCTTAAATAGTCTGCATGCTGTTCCCATTTCAAATGCACAATTTACAAATGTTTTCTCCCATTCTCTGGGTTGGTTTCATTTTCTTGGTATTGTCCTTTCAAGCACAAAAGTCGTGTGGTTTTTGTTTGTTTATTCGTTTACTTTCGATAAAGTCTGATTTGTCCGTTTCTCTCTTTTGCTTGTGCTTTCTGTGTGACCTCTAAGAATCCACTGCCAAATCAAAGGTCATGAAGATTTGCCTTTTCTGGCCTAACCTCCTTGAGATCTCTTAGGTCCGATCCATTCTGAGTTAATTTTTGTATGTGGTGTGGACTAAGGTCCAGCTTCATTCTTCGGCATGTGGATACCTACTTGTTCCAGCACCGCTGCTAAACAGTATTCTGTCCCTGTGAATCGTCTGGCACTCTTGTTGGAAACCATCTACCTATGGGTTTATTTCCATCCTACGGCAGTACCATCGTCTTGGTAACTGTAAGCTTTATAGTCAGTTTGGAAACCGGGAAGTATGAATCCTTCTATTTTGTTCTCCTTTTTAAAGATTGTTTTACCTATTCTGGTTCCTTACACTTTCATATGAATTTAAGTTTCTGCTTGTCAATTTCTGCAAAGAAGCCTCTGGGACTGTGATTGGAATTGCATGAATCCATACATCCAATGCAATCTCTATCAAAATTATTGATTATTAAACAATATAAAGTCTTATAATCTGTGAACACAAGATGTTTTTCTATTTACTTATTTTTATTTATTTATTTTTGTTTGTTGGTTGGAGAAAAGGTCTTGCTCTGTCGCCCAGGCTGGAGTGAAGTGGCATGATCTCAGCTTACTGCAACCTCTATCTTCTGGGTTCAAGTGATCCTCCCACCTCAGCCTCCTAAATAGCTGGGACTACAGGCACACACCACCACACCCAGCTCATTTTTATTTTTTTGGTTTTTTTTTTTTTTTGAGATTGAGTTTCGCCATGTTGCCCAGGCTGGTCTTGAACTCCTGGGCTCAAGAGATCTGCCCATCTCAGCCTCCCAAAATGCTGGGATTAGAGGTGTGAGCCACCGTGACTGGTCGTTTTTCCATTTCTTGATGTCTTTCTTTCCTTTCAACAATGTTTGTAGTTTTCAGTGCATTTCTTTCCCAGTCACTTTTCAAGACTGCAGAATAGGTACACCAGCACACTACACAGACGCTAGGAGCAGGTGTAAAGTCTCCTTCTGTATTAACGCATTTCTCTCATCAGGAATCAAGCTCTCTCTCCCATTCTGCACACACACACACACACACACACCCTCCACAGGCATCAATGAGGTAGAAGAAACATACTGTAGGTGACATGTTCTAGAAATGGTTTCTAGTCCAACTTGGGTCTCTAAGATCCAGCCAAAAACCTATTCTTCAAAGGAAAAAGGTGATACATTGATAAACCTCTGGCCAGACTTAGGAGAAAAAAGAAAGAAGACAAAAATTACCACTAACAGAAATTAGAGATGCCACTACCACAGATTCTACATATGTAAAAAGGATACTAAGGAAGCTTTAGGAATGACTTTATGCCAATAAATTCAATAACCTAGATGAAATTGGCCAATTGCTTAAAAGACACAAACTACGAATGTTCACTCGCAAAGAAATGGATAATCTGAATAGCCTTATATCTGATAATCTTGCAAGTCACATTTGACAGTTTAAAAGTAAACAGACTTCCAAACTGGCCTGCCTTGGGAAGGTCTTGTGATCCACGGTCCCTGAGTAAAGTTCCTCAGATGCTGCTGTACTCATTAATGCGTAGCCTACTGACATCAGAAGGACACGGATTTAACCCTGAATCATAAAGTTTTACTGATTTTCTTGCATGGAGACATTTTAGCCTGTATGTTGTCATCTGTAGCCAGTGACTGGCCCTCTGCGTTGCACCCTCCAAAGAAGAGGATAGCAGGAGTATGAGAAGTCCCTTTCTATTCTCCCGAACTCTCCCATAAAAGCCTCAGGCTCAGATTCCAGAACACTCCAGCTTTGTTGGTGTGTTCCCCTGGTTGATCCTCACACTTGGCTTCCCATAAACCTTTATCAAATTATTTCTGTCTCAACAGCCTTAATTTCAGTTGACATTATCAATAAAATGGAATTTGTAGGGAGAAAATGTTCCTACAAAGGCCATTCAAGGCTCAGGTAATTTCAGTGGTGAATTCAACCACTTAAGGAATAAATAAGAGCAATTGAACACAAACTCTTCAAGATAATTAAAGAGGAGGAAAGACCACAAAACAACAAGAAAACAAACAACAAAATGGGAGGAGTATGTTTTTACTTATCAATAATAACTTTGAATGTAAATAGTCTGGGTGCAGCGGCTCATGCCTGTAATGCCAGTACTTTGGAAGGCTGAGTTGGGCAGATCACTAGAGGTTAGGAGTTCGAGACCAGCCTGGCCAACATGGCAAAACACCATCTCTACTAAAAATACAAAAATTAGCTGGGCATGGTGGCACACCCCTGTAATTCCAACAACTCCGGCGGCTGAGGCATAAGAATCACTTGAACCCTGGAGGTAAAGGTTGCAGTGAGCTGAGTTGCACTACTGTACTCCAGCCTGGGCATCATAGTGAGACCCTGTCTCAAAAAAAAAATAAATACAGCGTGGTAAAACTGATGAATGATGATGTGTGAGTCTGGTCAAAAACAACCAAGAAACTTTGACTGTAAATAGACTAACTTCTCCAATCAAAAGCCACAGAGGAGTGGCTGCATGGATTAAAAAAAAAAAAAAAAGACCCAACCATCTGTTGTCTACAAGAAACACACTTCACCTGTAGAGACACACATAGACTAGCCAAAAATAAAGTGATAGTAAAAGATATTCCATGCAAATGAGAACCAAGAAAGAGCAGTAGTAACCATACTTACATCAAAGTGGATTTCAAGACAAAAACTATAAAAAGGGACAAAGAAATTCATTATGTAATGATAAAGGGGTCAATTCAGCAAAAGGTATAACAGTTATAAATACATATGTGCCCAACACTGGAACACCCAGATATGTAAAGCAAATATTATCAGAGCTAAAGTGAGAGACCCCAATACAGTCATAATTGGAGACTTCAGTACCCATTTTCACCCTTGGACAGATCTTTAAGACAGAAAATCAACAAAGAAACATCAGACTTAGCCTGTGCTGCAGACCAAATGAACATAATAGGTATTTACAGAATTCGTGCCATAGGTGCAGAATAGACACGCTTCTCCTTAGCACGTGGATCATTCTCAAGGATAGACCATATGTTAGGCTGCAAAACAAGTCTTTAAAAATCAAAACATCGATACATCAACTATCTCCTCTGACTTCAATGGAATAAAATGAAATCAGTAACAAAAGGAATTTTGGAAACTCTACCAATGCACGGAAATTAAACAATATGCTCCTGAAATGGCCAGTGTATCAATGAAGAAATTAAGAAGGAAATTTTAAAATGTCTTGAAACAAATGATAATGTTTGGAAAGACTACAATGGACATAGCAAAAGCCTTTCAAAGAGAAAAGTTTATAGCTGTTAAGTGCCTACATCAAAAAGTAGAAAAACTTCAAATAAACAACCTAATGATTTATCTTAAAAAGTTAGAAAAGCAAGAACAAACCAAACCCAAAATTAGAAGAAAAACAATTCAGATCAAAGCAGAAATAAATGTAATTTAAGTGAAGAAAACAATACAAAAGACGAATGTAACAAAAAATTGGTTATTTGAAAAGATAAATAAAATTGACAGACCAGACATGGTGGCTCATGCCTGCAATCTCAGCACTTTGGGAAGCCAAGGCAGGCAAATTGCTTCAGCTGGAAGTTCAAGACCAGCCTGGGCAGTGTAGCAAAATCCCATCTCTACAACAACAAAAACACAAAAAACAAAAATAAGCCATTTTATTCTAGCCAGGCATACACCTGTAGACCCAGCTACCTGGGAGACTGAGGTGGGAGGCTGGCCTGAGCCTCAGGTGCATATCTACATGCACACCTAACACCATATATGAAAATTAACTTGGAATTGATCAGAGACCTACCCGTAAAACCTAAACTATAAAACTTTTAGAACAACACATAGGAGAGAATCTGTGTGACCTTGGGCTTGGCAAAGATTTCTTAAACTGAACATAAAAAGCATAAAATACAAAAGAAAAATCAGTAACTTGGACTTCATCAAGTTAAACAGTTTTGCTCATAAAAAAACGTTATTATGAAAGTGGAAAGCCATGGACGGGGAGACCATATCTGCAAAACGTGTGCCCAAAAAGGACTCATATCCGGATAAAGAACTCTCGAAACTTCCCAAGGAGAAGATAAGCAACCCATTTTTTCTTTAAAGATGGGCAAAAGATTAGGACAGACACCGTCCTGGGCCCCAGCCTCCCAGCCAGGCCGTCCTCCCTCCACTCCGTGGGCCCTGCCTGACCGCCCAGACATGCCCTCCCCACAGCTGCCAGCCTTCCCCCCAGGGCTCACCCGCTGTCCCCCCACCAGGCCATACCATTGAGGTAGTAGCTCCTCCTGGTCCTGTCCGCGGTGGGCAGGCTGCTCTCTGAGAAGCACACCTTCTTAGGCCGGACCACCTCCCTGGGCTCCAGCAGGCTCTTGTCCACCAGTGAGTCTTGCAAGGGGCTCAGGAGTGGGGACAACTTCCTGTCCGTGCCTCGGTGGCTGTGCAGCTCCGGGGGACTGAGGAAGGCCTTGAAGTGTGGCTGGGAGGGGGCTGCACAGCCCGGGGAGGCGTCGTCTTCGCTGGCCAGAGGGGCATGTGAGCACAGCAGGTCCTCCAGGGAGGATGTCTGCAACTGGGAGGGCGAGTCAGCGACACTGGTGAACCTTCCGAAATCTGGAACTGGGGTGGGGAGGAAAGGGATGAGAAGTCAGGTCAAGCTCCTAAAACATCCTCGAGAGTGCAAAGAACATGTTAACAAACCCTATGTGCCAACCCCAAGCTTCAGCACCTGCTGGGGTTTCCCTGGCTTCAGAGCGTCCTCCTGCCCCTCTGGACCACGAGTGAAAAAGGAGATGCTAGATGTAGTGAAGTGGCTGTGGGAGCCTGCCACGGCCATGGGAGCGCTGTGTGTGTTTATGGCGCCCGCCACGCCCAAGGGAGCACTGAATCTGTTTATGGTGCCCACCATGCCCACGGGAGCATCATGTCTGTTTATGGTGCCCGCCATGCCCATGGGAGCATTGTGTCTGTTTATGGCACCTGCCATGCCCACGGGATTGCTGTGTCTGTTTATGGTGCCTGCCATGCCCACGGGAGCACTGTGTCTGTTTATGGCGCCCGCGATACCCACAGGAACACTCCATCTGTTTATGGCACCCACATGCCCATGGGAGCCCTGCATCTGTTTATGGGCACAGCAAGCAGGCAGGCCTCCCTGTGCACCCACATACACTGGAGAATGACTTTTATACGCTTTTTAAATTTTACATAAATGGTGACACCCTACACATTTTATTCTGCAATAGAACTTTTTGCTGCTGCATTCTCTCTGAGATTTATCCATGTTGAGCCATCTGGTAGCTCCCAGTTCATTTAAGTATTTCCTGGCACCTCTGTACACATGGGCACACACACAGTGGCTTTTTATCCCTTGCACTGTTGATGGGCACGGGCTGTTTCCACATTTCCTTGCAAATGCACAGCTGTAATTGACCTCCGAGGATGAGCCTCCTGGCTCCGTGAGCGTCCCCCGTGGCCCGGTGCTGGGCTCAGCCTCCTGGCTCCGTGAGCGTCCCCTGTGGCCCGGCGCTGGGCTCATGTGTGTGCATGTTTAACTTTCTTTGCTTTCCACTACGAGGGGGAGGTTCCATGCCCACCAACCGCTCCCAGCCCCACAGTCTCATGAAGACTCGGTATCCCCTGACCAGGCTGATGAGGTCATGTGGCATTTCCCTAATCCCTGGTCAAAATTATCAATGTCTTTGTGGCTTATGAAATTCTATTCTACCTCCATGTCATGAGTATTCTCCTAGAAATAAAGCAAATACATATTTGAGAAACAGTGTTAAGAGCATATCAAAAAATTATGTGCCTACAAAGGAACCAACTCATCTTCCCTCAGAAATGTTTTCCACGGAAAAGAAAGTGCTCAAAAGAAGCGAAGTCATCAGTGTGTGCCCTGCCTCCTGCCTCCTGCCACGGGGGAGGCCTGGTCAGTCCTCGGGGCTGCACCAACCCCCACCCCAGGTACTTTTCAAATTATAAAGGAATATCATGTACAATTCTATATTAATTAAAATTTCAGTAGAAGGAGGTATCTTCTGGAAAGTTACTTTTAAGGAACTCAATAAGAAATAGAAAACCTAAATGAACCAACACACAAAGAATGAAAATCTAAAAGTTAGGAAATTATTATTCCCCAAAGGGCTGCAGGCCGGGGTGGTCTGTGGGTGAGTGTGCCAAGCTCCCAAACAAGTCATAATCCCGACGTCATACAAATGAAGCTGGAACCATAGAATGGTTAAAGGATGCTCAATTAGGTTTCAAAATTTGTCACAATTCTAATGTCAAATTCCTACAAAGATAACCCCGAGGAAAAAAACCACAGCCAGGCCAGAAATAGTTGCATCAAGTATCATTCAAGCATGGGTGCGGAACAGACAGCGTGAGGCAGGAGTGTGCACAGAGCACGAGGCAGCGGGTGGAGATGATCAGGAGGCGGGAGATGGAGATCACCAGGCGGGGGGGGGAGGGGGGTGTGTGCCAGAGCAACGCCAGCATGGCACCCACCTCCTCCATTAGTGGGGTGTAGAGGCCTTTCAGGAGAGTGTTGGAGTGCTCTTTTAACATCTCAAATGCGCACGGCCTTCGACCCGAGGACCCACGTGTGGGATCCCCTACCCAAGGTGACAGAGTGCCTGTGCAGGCCGCTCACGGCCATGGCATCCGCGGTCACAGACACTGGGAATGGTGTTGCCTGCCTGGGGCCCCCACAGGAGCCAGTGTTCACGTGTGCCAGGGAGACCTGCAGCTGAGGACTGATGGGGAATGACAGAGGAACGGACAGTTTCAGGGCGAAAGTCAGGCTGGGGAACAGCACAGTCCTGTTTAGGTGGACCAAAAAGATACAGAGAGAGACACGGCCCTCCATCAAACTTCCAGAGAAAACCCAAGAAAACGTTGGTTGTGCCTGCCCTCAGGGAGTGGGTCCGGAGGCACGGCCTGAGCCTTAAACGTTGTGTTCGTCCTGGTGTTTATAAGTTTACCGTGAGCACATCTTGTTGAATCAGTAAGACAAACAGGGTTTTAAAGTGCTCATCCTATTTTGAACACAGACACGAAGGAACTCTGGCAGCACGGAAACGTTGCTGTATGGTGGTTCCCTTGTTTATAAACTCCTTTTTTGTACGAGTTTAGTGGTGGTTTTCCAAACCCCCGTCCTGCTGAAGGCTGGGGCCAAATGCAGCGTCCCACAGACCCAGGTACATTCCCAAACACATGCTGAGGCCCAGAGCATCAAGCGTACACCATGTGCTGCCACTGAGGTGGCACAGTTTAGAAGGTGGCCTTGCCCAGGCCCTTCCCCACTGCCAGCCTGGGCCACACTCAGCCTGCCCCACATCCTGCGTCGGGGCTCCAAGGCCCTCTGTGGAAGGCCTGCTGGCCTCGGGCTGGGGCTCCTCCCAAGACCTGGTTTGCCAAGGTGACCCAAGGGCAGGCGCAGTAGCCGTAGCCATGGAGACCCCACCTGACTCAGCCCCTGACAAAGGTCCTCCCGGGCACTGCACAGCCTGAGCAAGGGTGGAGGGTCTGCCCCTCTCCTGCCAGGCGAGGTCCCGGCACTCTGTCCAGACCTGAGGTCCGGCCCAGGGCAATTCCTTCTTGAGGAGGAGGATGGCAGCAAGGCCAGGATATGCAGCCTGTGGCAGATCTCGGGCAGCAAGCAGACCAGGGGCCCTTTTGCAGCCACGGTGCCCAGGGCTCACAAGTGCTGCGAACAGGACCATGTGCAGGTCCACCCAGCAAACGGCCTGTGGTGAGTGTGGGAGAGCTCAGTGGCTGCTGATGGAGGTGCAGAACCCGGGGCCTCCCACAGCAGGGCCCCCAGGCGCTGGGTTCTCTGGACACACTGTCCCCACACCTCCTGGCGAGGCGCTCTCCTCCCATCTCCCTGTGAGGGGTCCCTCCAGGGACCGAAGGTGTGGGGGTGCTGCCAAGGATTCCCCTCTTCCCCACGTGCTCGCTCTCAGGCTTTGTACACAGGAGCTCCGAGCACGGAGAGCGCCTCCTGCGTGCTGTGCCTGCTCAGAGGTGCACAGATGAGGGTGGTGGCCGGCGTCTGAGGACTCAGGAAGTGACCACCCCAGCGCAGGTCCCAGAGTGTCCCCTCGGTGGGTGGCAGAGCCAGCCTCCCGGGCATGGCTCGTGCTTCCCGACAGCAGCGTTCACAGGCACTGGTGAGGCTGCCTGCTCTGCCGTCCAGGACCAGGCAGGATGACCACATCCTGTCCCCACCCAGCCCAGTGGGAAGCTGAGGTCAGCTGTGGAAGTCCCAGGCAGTGCTGGGTCAGGGGCTCTGTCCACTGCCCACCATCCTAATGAAGTCAAGGGCACACCTGTCAGCCACACCCCAAGTCACATGCAGGAACAGGGAATGTTTTTCCCAACATTTTTAGAATAAAACCTACTACTTTGCAGGAAGTGATCAAACCCTATTTTTTTTTTTTTCAGTGAAAAGCCACAGAAGGTTGGAGTCAATACTCTGTGGTGGGTGGCTCGTGACCCCACACTCCCACCGCCCCAGGGACAGGCGCCCACCCTCCCCACCTGCTCCCCGAGGTAGGCCCGTCCCACCCTGGGGCTGCCCTGACTCTGGCTGAGGACGTGAGTGGATGGGACACAGCACTCGTGGGACTCGTGGGACTCGTGTGGCTGGAGTGTCTGACAGCCCCCCGCCCCAGGAGAAGAGACACACACAGCAGAGCAAAGAGCCAGCCGGGCCCAGACTGGAAGAGCTGCCTGGGGCTCTGGAGGCCCACAAGACTGCATGCCTCCTGCTCCACCCCTACGGCGGCTCTTCAGTGACTGCAGCTGACCAGTCCACCTGCAAGCGGCTGACCACCCCTCCTTCACCGCAGTGGGCCTGGAGGGGAGGGGCCTCGCCTGAGGACAACAGCAGAACGAACCACCTGGGCTTGCTTACTCAGACCCGAGGGTGTGAAAGGTACCCATGACCTCCTGTACCAGGGACACCCGAGGTGTGGGCGTCCCGGGACCCCCCCATCCACCAGGCCAGGCCCTTGGGCCATCTGAGCCTGGCAGCGCCTCACCTCCACTGCCCGGGGAGCCGGCTTCGGGGTAGGCAGGCGCCCTCTGGGGGAGCAGGTCTCGGCCCCCGCCGTCCTGGCAGCTCTGGCTGAGCAGCCGCCGCAGCATCTGATTCTCCTTCAGGAGGCGCACCTGCTTCTTCAGGTCTGCGTTCTCACTCAGGAGCCTGCTCATCAGCTCACCACCCTCAGCCATGGCGGGCACACGTCCCTCCTTGTCCCTCACGGCTCCTGCAGCCCCATAGAGGTGGAAGCCCAGAGCCCGCAGGCACCACAGAAACAGCCCGAGGCCACGGAGTTCCGTGGCCACCGCCACCTTCCGCACCTTGTGATGTCGCTGCCCTAGTGACCAGGTGCCCGGCACCTCTGCCCGTCCTGGCGACAGCTCGTGGCCACGTTGAGGCAGTGAACTGGAGGCCCGTGGGGTGCACAGGTAGCCACTCCCGCACCGCGACAGGGCCCGAGAATGCCAAGGACCTTAGGCAGGTATGGAATGTGGGGACCATACTCCAGGGGGGGCGTCTGAGCTGCTCCCCAAAGGGAGGCCCAGCCAGGGTCGGGCGTTCACCCCATGTGGAGTCCTCAGGCCTGGCGGGGATGCTGCCTTTCCTCGAGTGGCACTGGGGCCACCCTTCCCACAGACCCTGTCCACAACACGGGACCTAGTGCAGCTTCCTGTAGGTCCTGGCACTCAGGGTGGCATCTGGTGTGCAGCCCTGGCACTCAGGGTGGCATCTGCTGTGCAGGTGTTCATCGGAGCCCAACCTTGGGACCCACACTTGAGGATGGAGGGGCTGGTGAGGGTAGGGGAGGAGACCAGCCCGGGGCAGCCCCACGATGGCCCCCACACCCCGAGGAGCACTGGGAGGCCCTGAGGGCTGGGCTGGAGACCACCTGCTGACTTCACTCCCCCATGAGAAGGGTCCAGCAGTGCATGTCCACCCATCGGACCACGAGCACCTGTGTCTAAGACACCAGTTGTTCCCAACTGCTCTGCTCCTGCCTGCACCTCACTGCAGACACCCCCAACCACGGCGTGGCCCCTCAGGCTGTCGCATGGGGCTGTGGCTCATGGGGTCCTGCTAGGGCAGGCATCTGTCCTCTGTCTGTGTGATCGTCTTGAAACCCGCCCTGACTCCTCCCGTCTCCAATTACTTGGGAAAATCAATCACCTTAGTGTTGTTTCTTAGTTCCAAGGGTCTTGTTTTATCGGCAGCCAGAACACAGCACACTGGTCACCTCATCCTTGTGGGAAAGGACATAAAACACAAACCAGTGGGCCGGCCACACTCCAGCCCTGTGACAGGCACCCTGTGACCTCTGGCCCTGTGATGGTGACCCTCCCACCTGGGCTCCCCAAAGTGCTGGGATTACAGGCATGAGCTAGAAATTTATTAATGAAGCCCAACCTATCAATGTTTTCCTGCACGGATCATGCCTTTGGTGTCATATCTAGAGTCATTGCCAAACCCAAGTTCACCTGGATTTCCTCCTATGTGATGTTCAAGGGCACTCAGGTGCAGACGCCCCAGGAAAATAGTCTTCATTCAGCCCTACGGCCTGATGAGGGGAATGTTGATTCCAGGAGAGAAGGTCTCAAGTCAGACTTTGTGGAGAAAGGGTTTCTACACCCCAGCATTCCTTACACAACCCAGCCAGCCTGGTGCTGCCCCACAGGGCTCACTCCCCAGATGAAGACAATGGGGGCCTGACACAGCCCACTGAAGAGGGGTGCAGGGTGTCCAGGATGCAGGTTCGGGAGAGAAGTGAGGGTCGAGTCACAGATGCGTCCCAGCTGAGGCCAGTGGGGCGCTGAATGGCTTTTCCTGCACTGGCTCCTCCCATCACATTTTAAATGCCATCTTCTCCCCACTACAAGGACACCTTCTCTGGACATCACGTGCTCTCTGGCCACAGACCTATCAACATTCTGACAGCTTTCTGATCTTGACGCATTATGCTTTTAATATATTGCCGGATTCGGTTTGTTAGTGTCTCGTTAAGTATTTTTATCTCATGGGGAAACTGATCTGAAGCTCCTTTTCCTGTAATGTCTTGGTCTGGCTTTAGAACACTGGCCTTTTAAAAGGCCCCGCAAGGCGTTCCACGCCATCTTCTAGCTGTTCTTTCCTTCCTACATGCCAGATAGAATTCACCCGTGAAGCTATCTAGGCCTAGAATTCTTCTGGGAAAGTTTTAAATTTCTAAATCAATTTCTTAAATCGGTACAAGGTTACTTATATTTTCTATTTTTCCCTCACGTGCGTTTTGCTGACAATTGTGGCTGTCAGGCACTTCATTTCCCGCTGTGGAGCAGGAGCATCAAGCTTTAACTACATCCCAAAATTCTAATGTCACGTTTTTATTCTCATTCAACTTGAAATATTCTCTAGTTTCCCTTGTGCTTTCATATTTCGCAAGACGCTTTTTTTTTTAGAGGAGTTTTAGGTTCTCAGCAAAATTGAGAGGAAGATATGAAGATTGCCCTACTCTCTGCCCCAACAAACGCACAGCCTTCCCTATTATCAACGTCCCGCAGCAAAGTGGTGCTTTTTTGAGACAGGGTCTCGCTCTGTTGCCCAGGCTGGTAACATGATCAACATGCCCAGATCATGTTGTGCAAGTGGCATGATCACAGCTCAGTGAGCCTCGAATTCCTCAGCTCAAGAGATCCTCCTGCTTCAGCCTCCCAAGTAGCTGGGACTATAGGCGCGCATACCCACTCAGTCCCCGGGCAGCCAATTTGTTACAGCTGATGAACCCACATGGACACGTCATTACCCAAAGCCCACCCTTTACAATGGGGTTCACTCCCGGTGCCCGAGGCCCACACTTTACACTAGGGTTCACTGTTGATGCCCGAGGCCCACACTTTACACTGGGGTTCACTCCCGGTGCCCGAGGCCCACGCTTTACACTGGGGTTCACTCCCGGTGCCCGAGGCCCACACTTTACGCTGGGGTTCACTCCCGGTGCCTGAGGCCCACACTTTACACAGGGGTTCACTCTTGATGCTCAGGGCCCACAGTTTACATCAGGGCTCACTCTTGATGCTGCACATTCTCTGGCTTTGGACAAATGTATAATGTCCTGTATCCGCCATCACAGTGTCAGGCTAGAGTAGTTTCACTGCCCTAAAAATCCTCTGTACTCTGCTTATTCATCCCTCTGCTGGCCCTAACTCCAGCATCCACTGATCTTTTTTTTTTTTTTTTTTTTTTAAGTGTTTTTACAACTGACCTTTTTACTGTTTCCACAGTTTTGCCTTTGAGGATGTGATCTATTTGGAATCACATAGTATGCAGCCTTTCCAAACTGCACAACTTTTTCACTTAGTAATATGCATTTAAAGGTCCTCTGTGTCTCTTCACGGCCTGATAGCTCATTTCTTCTTAGTGCTGAATCATATTCCACTGACTGCCCCAAAGTTTATTCACTCATTCACCAACATTTTGGTTGCCCTCACATTTTGGCAACTATGAATAAACAGCTATGAGCATCTGTGTGCAGGTGCTTGTGTGGACATAAGTTTTCAACTCCTTTGGGTAACTGCTGGATATATGGTGCAACTGCTGGATATATGGTGAGAGTATGTTTAGTTTTGTAAGGAGCCACCAAGCTGTCTTCCAAAGTGGCTGTATCTACCCAAGTTATCAAAAGAGAAGGGGGAAAAAAAAACACAACACAAATTAAAAAAAAAAAAAAACAACAACAACAAAACAAAGTGACCACACCATTTTGCATTCCCACTACCGAGTTCCTGTTACTCCACATCCTCACCAGCATTTGGTGGTGTCAAGTGTTCTGGATTCTGGCCACTCTCAGGAGTATACTGGTAGTTTTAATCTGCATTCCCCTGATGACACATGATGTGGAATGTTTTCAAATGCTTATTCAACAACTGTGTATCTTCTTTGGTGCAGTGTCTGTTAGGTCTTTGGCCCATTTTTTAACCAGATTTTCTCACTGTTGGGTTTGAAGAGCTCTTTTGGATACCGATCCTTTGTCTTTTTAAAATATATTCTCCCAGTCTCTGACTTGTCTTTTCATTTTCTTGACAGTCTTTGCAGAGCAGAAACTTCTAATTAATGTATTTTACTGAGACAGGGTCTCCCTCTGCCACGCAAGCTAGAGCGCCATGGCGCAATCACAGTTCACTGCAGCCTGGACCTCCCAGGCTCAAGCGATCCTCCCACCTCAGTGTTCCAAGTAGCTGGGACAACAGGCACTTACCACCACACCTGGTTAATCTTTTGATTGTTTTGTATGGATGAGGTTTCACTGTGTTACCCAGGCTGGTCTCAAACTCCTGGGCCCAAGTGACCCTCCCACCTTGGCCCCCCGAAGTGCTGGAATTACAGGCATGAGCCAGAAATTTACTATTTTAATGAAGCCCAACCTACCAATGTTTTCCTGCATGGATCATGCCTTTGGTGTCATATCTTAAGAGTCACTGCCAAACCCAAGGTCACCTGGATTTCCTATGTGACATTCTAGGGGTTTTATTGTTTTGTGTTTTACATTTAGGTCTCTGATTCATCTTGAGTGTGTCTAGATGTGAAGGGTATGCCAAGGTTCATTTTTTTTACAAAGGGAGTTTGGTTGTTTCAGCATCATTTGTGGAAGACTGTCCTTTGGCCATTGAATTGCCTTTGCGCCTTTGCTACTGATTTTCAGTTCAGCTGGAGTCCGCCGTCGTGGGAAGTACGCTCCGCGTGACGTCAGCTGGAGTCCGTCTCGTGGGAAGTACGCCCCGCGTGACGTCAGCTGGAGTCCGCCTCGTGGGAAGTACGCCCCGCGTGACGTCAGCTGGAGTCCGCCTCGTGGGAAGTACGCCCCGCGTGACGTCAGCTGGAGTCCGTCTCGTGGGAAGTACGCCCCGCGTGACGTCAGCTGGAGTCCGCCTCGTGGGAAGTACGCCCCGCGTGACGTCAGCTGGAGTCCGCCTCGTGGGAAGTACGCCCCGCGTGACGTCAGCTGGAGTCCGCCTCGTGGGAAGTACGCCCCGCGTGACGTCAGCTGGAGTCCGCCTCGTGGGAAGTACGCCCCGCGTGACGTCAGCTGGAGTCCGCCTCGTGGGAAGTACGCCCCGCGTGACGTCAGCTGGAGTCCGCCTCGTGGGAAGTACGCCCCGCGTGACGTCAGCTGGAGTCCGCCTCGTGGGAAGTACGCCCCGCGTGACGTCAGCTGGAGTCCGCCTCGTGGGAAGTACGCTCCGCGTGACATGTCCTTTCTGGCATCCTCAGACTCATCTCCTGAGCCGCTATGGTCCACCTGAGCACACGGGCCACAGGCTCTTGAAAAGCATGTGCTTCACCACTATTAGATAGGTGAAGTATCCTCTCAATAGCCCATGCCTGTGTTGGTGGTAATGATGTTGTTTCTCCCATTAAAATTGTGAGTTTATGTCATGCTCTTCAATTCTGCAGTTTTGTTATTAAGTGCATATACACTTAGGATTGTTACGTCCCGATAAACTGATCCTCTTTTCATGATTGTCTCTTATTTCTGGTATCCATTCCTTGTCCTACAGTCTATGTTGATACTAAAAATATCAAGAGTCTGAAACTTTATATCATAGCGAACAAAGAAAACCTACGACGGCACCAGGGAAAAGATTTCAGGATGTTCAATATCTGTCCCTGATAAAAATAATTTGAACTCAAAAATCTTTAATGACTTAGGATAGCAAACTTGATTTTTAATCACATTGAGGCAAGTATCCCCTCAGACAGAAGCTGCACAGGCGCAGCCGCCATCTCTTCCTGGTGGTTTCCTTTGCCAAGAGCACATCACGGTGATGAGTCCCCTGGGACAGGTCATCCTCCCGGCACCCAGAGATGCCAACAGGGGAGGGACAGACTCTTCTGCATTATGAGCCAATCGTGAACAAGAAGGCCGCTTCTTGAGACAGGAAAAATATACTTGCTTTAAACAACAGACTGAACACGGATATGGTTTTAAAGGAGACAGGGCAGGACAGTGGCACTGAAGTCCTGCATGTGTTAGTAACACTGAAGGTGGCAGGGAACCGCTGTATCCTGTGACTTGAAGGCCACTGTGAAGGAAAACAATGCAGTGAAAGTTCCTATGTGGACATGTCTCTCATTAATCTTTCTAGATATGTCTATGGGCTTTAAAAGATATTAAAATAGGCTGGCTATTATCTCTTAAAAGAGAGATACATTTTCCTTGGATAGCTGGAGACACACCTGTGACTCCTCACACTACTCCTGTTCCCTGAACCAGGCTGGGCATCCCACTCATCCCACAGGTGGGTGAGGCAGGACAGCCAGAAACCCCAGATCTGCCATTGCTCCCCAGGATGAAAGAAACACAGCATAACAGCCTCTGCTAAGGGAATCAAATGTCTGTTTATTAAAGTAGTTGTTCATAAAAGTGTCTTCAATAACATTTTCAGTATAAAGATGGATTTACATTTCATTTCCAGAAAACTGATATTTTGTACAGTGATCTGGCAGTGGCTAGGAGGCCCAGGGACAGCAGCTGCTGCTCCAGGCAGACTCTGGGACTCACTGTCCTATTGCTGCCCCAGGTGGGAACACATGGGCTCTGGAAAAAAACAGCACGTGCAAACCTGACAGATGCCAAGGGTCCCAACACAGTTCCTTCAGCCAAACTAAACCCTAGTTTTCAGATGTGTAGGAAAGTGTTGACACTCTACAGGCAGCTGCCTGCACGTGCGGCCGACCAGGCTCTGCATGCTCCGAGCAGGCAGGTGAGTCCCAAGGAGAGTCAGTGACAGCACATGGGGCAAGGGAGCTGTGCAGGAGACCCCAGAGGGCACGGAGCCTGGGTGAGAGTCCTGGACCCTGCACCAAGGCAGAGGGGTGGCCCTGAAGGACTCTAGGCAGGAAATGACAGGCTCCGAGGGTGTCCAGACACAGATCTCCACTGCCTGAGAGAGGACGGTCAGACGGGGAGGGCCCAGGGGCTGCCACCTGCCCAGGAGGCGGCAGGGAGGGGAGGAAGAGCAGATGAGGAGGCGTAGGGTGTGCCCTGGGCAAGGCAGCAGTGGTGACAAAATTCTCAGTGACTCCTCCCGATGGCCAGGGAGAACAGTGACAGCCTCAGGGTGACGCCGAGCACGTGAATGGCTCATCCACATCAGTCAAAGGCATAGCCAGGACCTGAACTTCCTATCCTAAGGCCTACATCCATGCAAGCCAGACTAGCTGGGTCAGAAGCTAGAAGGGAGCTCAGAGGATCACCCAGAGAAGCCTCCCCCAACACCTGGCCCTCACTCCAGCCCAGAGCACCTGCCTGGGCCTGGGGATATGCTAGGCCCCCAGGGTGCCATCCTGCCCAGCCAGCCCAGGGAGTGGTGATGGACTGGGCACTGGCTGTCCCTGTACAGAGCAGTGCCCTGCAATAGTGACCATGACTGCTGTCTGCCGCTCACCCCTGGTTACGCTGTGCCTCCCATGTGCATTTCTGTCCATAGGGCGACTATAAACCCTGTAGGCACCTCACAAACCGCATTCCACATGGGTGAGTTCACGACCCAGGGGTATGGAGGCTCCCCATTAAACAACCTCAGGATGCTCCGGCACCCCCCACCAAATGCAGGCAAGCTCACGACCCTGGGTGGGTATGGAGGCTCCGCCCACCGTTCCGCAGGTGAGCTCACGACCCAGGGGCATGGGGTTCCCTGCTACACAGCCTCGAGATGCTCCATGAGCACCCCCTGCACTGGGCTGTTCACGGATGCGCACCGTACATGCCATTGTCAGAATCGCCCTTGTGTCCATCAACCTGGCAGACAGAAGGTGCAGGAGAACAGCCTGCCCAGGGCCAACCCCAACCCAGAGCCCACATGACAGTGCCAGGCAGGAATCGCACAGGTGCAGCTATTCCTCTACCAACTCAGCTATTGGTCAGAAAAACCCTACTAGCCTCACTCCCTGGGGAGGCTGTGCCCAGAGGCGTGAAAGGCACTGTGCCTCCCCAGGGCTGTGGCTCCAGCGCCCCCTCCTCACCCAAGCCTGACAAGCTACTCTCAGAAATGAACCTATGGTAAAAATCAAAGAGTCTAAGCCACCCACCCTGTCCGCATCCCTGCCTCCAGCCTGGTCCCCAGACTCATGTCTGTGAGGCAGGAGTTGAGGGGCTGGAGCCAGAGACAAGGTTATGGGAGGGCTCCCCCACCTGGCCAGGACCCCTTGGCCTTAATGGTCTGCACCCAGGAGGCAGGCATGTTCTCAGGGGTGGCCGGCAAGGGCTCTCTCAGGGTACAGCTGGGAGAAGCGGCCGAGGGCCCATATGGGGAAGATGTTCCTGTAGCTCGTGTAGGAGATGGCACAGGACTTGTTGAAGACCCCGGAGATGTTTTCCTGAAAGAACACAGAGAAATAAACACAAAGCCTCCACTGGTCAGCTGAGGGCTAGTCCCTGAACTGTACACTGGCTGCTTGCTTGGCTGGCTTGTGGGTAAGCCTGGGAAGGACTGATTAAGCAAGAGCATGGGAAAGCAAGTAGTCCATCCCACGTCAGTCAGGCACCATCAGCCCAGCTCAGACTCCCCATCCTGCAGCAAACTGAGCCGGGGTCACCAGCCCCTCACGACCAGGTCAGCTTCCACCAACTCAGCCTCATCCCAAGGGAGGGTAGTTGGCCTTACATGATCTCATGACACCCACACCACAGGGATAAGCAGAGGCCGCCTCCTGCCCTTCCGGCTCAGTGAGGGGCCACCAGGTCGCCTGGAGTCAGAGGGTCTGTCCTGGAGCAAAAGGGCTTCCCGCCCACTGGCTTCTCCCATCCAGCTCCTCCCCCAGCCAGGGCATTACTTGCAAAAACAGCAAGACCTGGACTTTAGGACCCAACCTAAACCTACCACAGACCTGCCACCAACTCTGGCATTCACTGGCAGAGTTGATGCCTCCCAAGCATCCAAAGTACCCCAAAGAAGACACAGAGCAAGAGGACGTGGAAACAGCCGCGCACGATGGAGGCTGGTGCTGGGCCTTATGCACTCAGGCCCCTGGTGGCATACCTGGGGCCAGTCGCCATTGGGGAGCTGTTTCTCAAGCAGACACCGGACTCCTCTCTCCTGGGCCTTGACGTCAGGATGCCTGGCGGAAGAGGAGGCTGAAACACACCCCCCGAGCATCACCCTCACCCTCACACGGCCAAGTCTAAGAACAAACCCTGGAATGCTGCAGTGAGAATGGATGCACCTAAACTGACATCCACAGGCCCCACCAGGTGCAGTGAGCACCTGGGGCTCCTGCCGCTCCTTTCCTAGGCTCCCTGAGAAGCGGAGCCACAGTGATGACAGGCTGGGGACACAGGCCTCCTTAGGCCTGCCCTGGTGGCTCCAGCACAAGACGCTCTTCGGTGCCCCCCAAAGAGGAGCCCAAGACTGTTCCCACTCAGCCCACTGGTCCTCGTGGGCCTCTGGAAGCCACAGAAGCCACAGGAGCTCACACTTGCTTGCTGGCCAGGATGAGATACCAAGCAGGACCAGGGCTCAGTGGGCCCAGCTTAACTGTGGGTCCCTGACTATCCTGCCCTCAGGGGTCCCCCAGACCCTGCTGCTCCTGCTCAAACAGACCTGCCCTAGCTTTTAGGAAGATTCCCCAGATGGCCACAAACCTAATAGGGCAGCACAGATGGGATGCTGTGGGTGCATCTGTGTGTGCACACAGGTGCCTGTGCACAAATACGTGTGTGCATAGACCTATGTGTGTGTGCATCTGTCTCCATGTACGTATGTCTGTGTGCAGCACAGATGGGACGCTGTGGGTACATCTGTGTGTGTACACAGGTGCCTGTGCACATGCTGTGGGTGCATACATACTGTGTGCATCTGTCTCCATGTACATATGTCTGTGTGTGCACATCAGTGTGCACATGCACACCTGCGTGCAGCTGCGCATGTGTGTACTAGGCACATGTGGCTTGGCACCAGCTATGGACACAGGAGGGCCACAGAAAGCAGCTGCCACTGCCGCCATCACTACCATACCAGGAAGCAGCGTCCTCATCACAGCCCACCTCACCGTTTCCAGGGGTCCCTGATGCCGATGCTCTGCCACCAACACTGCTAATGGTGGGTGGTTCACTTTTAAGAGGCGAGCCTCTCTGCAGGGCCCCATGTGGTCAGAGCAACCCATCTCCTTGCCCCAGGAACCTGGCACGTGGCTCTGGTAGACGTCTCTGTTCCCTGAGTGGCAGCTGAATCGCCCCTGGCCCACAGGCCTCCCCTACTCCTCTCTACATTCACTCAGCCCAGGCCACTTGCTCACAGCTGAGTATCCCTCTTCCACCCAAACCCAGGGCTCAGGGATGAGGCCCATCATCCCCACCGAACGGCCATCAGCCCCATCAGGGCCCAGCAGGTGTTGTGGATCTGGGACCGGGCGCTCTGCACGTAACGCCGCTGCTCGCAGGACTCAAAGTCCTCCCCCCAGCCTCCGTCTGCCATTTGCCGGGACAGCAAGAAGTCACAGGCCCGGGAGACCTCTGCACAGGCAGTCCTGTAGAGACCAGAGACAGCAGACACCATCACACCAGGGAAGGTTTCAGGGAAGGACTTCTGGCTTCTCACCCTGGCAGGCTGCCTTAGGGTATGGGGAGGAGCCTACACTACAGGGTCGCCCTATGTGAGAGCCATGGACCACTACTGAAACCCCTGAGCTTGACTTCCACAGATGTGAAGTGGGAGCAGATACTCCTGGCTCCCAGAGTCGTTGGAGTGACAAAGGGACATGCGAGTACTGCAGATGGCCTCACACACGTGTCAGACTCAGTGAGGTCTGTAGTGCTTGGGAGCAGTGCCTTATAAGCTGCACCCAGCCAAACACAGTGCTCCCCACCCCCAAACACCCACACGGGAAAGAGTGGGGCAGCTGGAGACAGGGCTGGGACTGGAGGCCTCTTGACTTCTAATCTGGTCTCGGGGGGCCTGGACCCTAATCCTCCTACTCAGGGTTGGGAGGCATCTGTGTGCCTGGAGGGACTGGAAGCCAGACGTGTTCCTCCAGCACACATTTCAGGAAGCTCTGGACAGCCATGGGACCAGGGAAGCATCCTCATTTCAACCTGGGACCTTGTCTGAGAAACCGATCTTATCTCACTGTTTAAAAATATTAAAAACAGGCCAGGCGCAGTGGTTCATGCCTGTAACCCAGCACTTTGGGAGACCGAGGTAGGAAGATTGCTTGAGCCCTGACCAGTGTGAGCAACACAGCAAGACGCCATCTCTGCATAAAAGTTTTAAAAAATTAGGTGTGCAACAAAAAAAAAGGAAAGAAAAATTAGTCAGGTGTGGTGGCGTGCACCTGTGGTCCCAGCTATTTGGGAGGATCGCTTGAGCCCAGGAGCTCAAGACTACAGTGAGCCTGGATCATGCCACTGCATGTCAGCCCTGTTGACAGAGCGAGACTCTGTTTCAAAAAAAGGAAAAAACCACTCCTATAATCAAACATCAAAGCAAACAACACTCATGTCCGTGGATTGGGCTGAGAACCCTGCCCACCAGAGGATAGGCACTCACTCACTCACCCATCTCTGTAGCTCTGCCCCATGCAGGCGAAGGCCTCCAGGCCAAACCAGGTGCCGTAGGTGAAGCACACTCCCCAGGACCTGAAGGGAGACAAGGAGAGCCTCAGCCCTTCAACCCATGTTCACAACCGGTATGTGAAACCACAGGCATTCGGCGAACATTCACACGTGCCCCAGCCAGCCCAACAACTCCAGTGCCTCAGGCGTTAGGGCCATGGAAGACAGCAGCTCCATCTGCTGGGCCCACCAGCCAGACACCCGAGAACAAGCCGCGAGGGTGGAGGGGAACAACCGCACTCAGGCGACAGTGCATGTCCAACACAGCCTGGCTGCACCCAGCAACATGCCGAGCAATTTCACCAAGGCAGAGGCCAGGCATGCCAAAAAAGGAACGAGGTCTCCCAGAAGTCATGGGCTGGCAGCTCACTTCCAGAAACGTCTGGTGCAGCACCAACATACCACCCAACATTTATGAAGGCAGCGTGTGAGAGCAGAAACCTCTGGATCCCACACATGTCTGCACTCATGGGCGGGGCTCACTTACCCTTCCCAGGAGCCGTCGGCCCTCTGCTGCCGCCGACAGAACTCTAAGCCCTGCTTGAGGGTCTCCCTGGAACACATGAGATTGGCCCAATGAACAATCCGGCAAAATGGCAGTTTGCCTATCCCAATTCCACCCATTTCAGGGTCTCAAAAGAATGAGCATGGTCTCCCTTAAAAACCACATAAAAATAAAACAGTTTACACAGACCTATGAGGGTTTTTAAACAAAACAACTACAAGACACCAGAGCGGGAGGCAGACTGGCAGAGTCTGAAAAGGGATGGTGAGGAAAGCAAGGCCTCGGGAGGAAGCCCCCGCAGACACGGGGTCAAAGAGGAGCAGTGCCACTGAGACCCAGGGGCCCAGGCTTGAGCAAAGCAAACAAAGTGAACTAAGTAAGAACAGGGAAAAATCAATTAGAGAGAAAACAACAGATTTAGAAGACAAAGAAGACCCATCCTAAATCTAACTGGTATTTCTAAAAACATCCGGTTCTCCAAAAAGGCTGGAGTGAAGTGTCTACTCTGGTGTCAGCCTGCGGGACGTGAGACTCATCTTTAACCAGCAGATTCAGCAGGGCTGATGGGTGTCGGTCCTGGGACTAAGGTCCATGTGATTGCAGCTCCGATCGTGTTCGCAAACTCCCTCTACCAACTCTCCCTTCTGGCTTTTGTGAGATGCCATCTACAGAGGCCCCTGCAGCAAAAGGCAGTCAGCAGCTTCCAGCTGAGGAAAGGGATCCAGCCGAGGACCCCGTGTGCTCAGAGGCAGAGCCTTCCTCACTGGAAGCTCAGGTGAGACCCCAATCCCAATACCCTGACTGAAGCCTGGGGAGACCCTGAGGCCGAGGACCCGAGAGGTGCGCCTGGACTTCTGATTGACAGAAATGGTGAAGTAATAAATGTGTGTTCTTCTAAGCCACTAGGTTTGTACTAACATTGTCACCAGCAATAGGTGAAACCAACAGTCAACGTACAATAAAAGCAATAAAAGAAGTGATAGGACTACACAGATATGGTGAGAAATAAGAACATTTTATGTATTACATTTGAAAACTTAGATAAAATGTACAAATTAGAAAAATTAACTTATCAAAACTGCCTCAATCAAGAAACAGAGAACCTAAACAGTCCTAAAACTACTAAAAGAATGAGTCCAAATCTAAACTTTTCCCAGGAAAAAAACTCTAGGCCTAGGAATTTTTAAGTGAATTCGACTAAATTATCAGGCACACTCATTATAATCTCACACAAACTCTTCCAGAGAATAGAAAGAGGAGGAACATTCTCTCGTTCATTCTAGGAACCCAGAGAAATAAGACATGGAATAGTGAAATTTTCAGGCTATTTCACTCATGAACACAGACGCAAAACTCCAAATTAAAACTGAGAAACTGAAAACTGTCTTAAATATAGACCCATACAAAGGTCTATCTCAGAAATACAAAGGTGTCTTAACATTAGAAAAATCCATAATAATCCTCTACAAATTAACAAACGACACAAATATATAATCATCTCAAAGCAGACAGGGCAGTCTGAGACCAGCCTGGGTAACAGAGCAAGACCCCATCTCCATAAAAAAAATTTAAAAATTTAGCTGAGCATGGTGGTGCATGCCTGTGGTCCTAGCTACTCAGGAGGCTGAGACAGGAGGATTCCTTGAGCCTAGGAGTTTGAGGCTACAGTGAGCTATGATGGCACCACTGCACTCCAGCCTGGGCAACAGACTGAGACTCCATCTCTTAAAAAAAAGAAAAGAAAAAGAAAAAGAGTCGACTGTTTTCCTACAAGCAATGAACAATTAGATTTTGACATTTAAAACACAATGCCATTGACATTAGCTCCAAAAAATTGAAATCCTTAGGTGTAAACAACAAAATATGTACAAGATCTATATATGATGACATCTACAAAATTCTGATGAAAGAAATAAAAGATCTTCCCAACTTGAGCTATAGATTCGATGGAATCCCAACGAAAGTCTTGGCATTTTTTAACTATCAGCAGACTGATTCTAAAATGTACAGGGAGAGGGGAAAAAACCCAGAATAGCCACTGCACTATTGAAAGAGAACACTGACGTGAGAACACTGACACTAATTGAGTTCAAGGCCTTCTACAGAGCTACAGGAACCGAGACAGGGTGGTACTGACGAAAAGAACAAATAAACCAATGGAACAGAACAGAGAGCTCAGAAACAGACCCACGCAAATGCCGTCAACTGATATTTTACAAAGGAGCAAAGGCAACAAAATGTCGCAAAAAAAGTCTTCTCCACAGATGGTGCCAAAACAACTGGACATCCACATGCAACAAAATCTAGACACGAACCGTAAACCCTTCACAGTTGAACTCAAAACAAATCATGGACCCAGATGTAAAATGCAAAACTTAACAACTCCTAGAATATAACACAGGAAACAATCTAGGTACCCTTGGGCTTGGCAGTAACTTTTTAGAAACAACACCAAAAACATGATACTTGAAAGAGTACACTGATAAGCTGGACTCCATTAAAATAACAACTGGCTCTGCAAAAGATACTATAAATAGAATGAAGAAACAAGACACAGACTGGCAGAAATATCTGCGAAAGACATATCTGATAAAGGGCTGGCAGCCAAAATATACAAAGAACTAAAACTCAACAATAAGAAAACCCTTAAAAATGAACCAAAGACTTTAACAGACACTTCACTGAAAAAGATACCGGTGGCAAATACTGTATGAGAAGATTTTAACAGAATGTCATTAGGGAACTGCAAACTGAAACAAGGAGATAGCAACTATGCACCTCTTAGAACAGCTAAAACCCAAAACACAACACCAAATGCTGGTGAGGATGTGGAACAATAGGAAGGCTCATCATTGCTGGTGGAAATGCAGACGGTGCAGCCACTTTAGAACACAGCTTGGTAGCTTCTTACAGAACACGCTCTCACCATGGGATCCTGCAATCACGCTCCTTGGCATTTACCCAAATGAGCTGAAAACTTACATGCACGCTAACATTGATAGCAACTTTATCCATAGTTGCCAAAACTTGGAAGCAAGAAAGGCATTCACCTCAGTAGGTGAATGAATAAACTGTGGTACATCCAGACAATGGAATATTATTCGGCACTAAAAACCAATGTGCTATCCAGCCATAGAAAGACACTGAAGAACCTTAAATGCTTATTATTAAGTGAAAAAGGCCAGTCTGGAAGGCAAAACTATGGAGACAGTAAAAATATCAGTGTTTGCTACTAAGGGGTTCCAGAGGTGAGGACAGGGGATGACGGATGGAGCACAGTGGACTCTGGGCAGTGAAACTACTGTGACACTGCAGTGGTGGACACATGTGTTACACATCTGTGAAAACCACAGAACGAACAACATAAAGAGGAACCTGAATGTAAACAACAGACTTCGGATGACAATAATTTATGAATGTTGACTCATCAACTAGCAAATGCACCAATTTAACGCAAGATGTGAATATCAGCAGAAACTTGGTGGAAAGTGAGAGGAGTTAGTGGCTTTATGGGGAAACGGCATCTTCCACTCAAATTTTCTGTAAATTTAAAACTGCTATAAAAGATAAAGAGCGTAATTTTTTTTTTAAAGTTTAGCAAATTGTCTAGCTATGAGATCAGTATCAAAATCAACTGCATAGGAATCTACGAGTCCACAGTGATAATAAATAAGTAAATAAACAGAGGCAAAGGAAAAGCTTTTGGAAGAACGCCAACTAATACATATGGGAGGAATGACAATTTTGCAAGCATTATGCAAATAATTGATTCAGGCAAGAATCATCATCAAATGCTAACAATAACAGGTATAAGTCTGATGAGAAATAGGACGTTTACATAGCCTAAGACTGTCTCCCAATTAAAAAAGAAACGGCAACTTCATAGTGGAGAAACTAAGTACACTGCTCACCACCTTCATCAAGGGATCAAAGTGGTTGTGTGCTTCCTGGTAAGATGCAGAAGGCCCTACTTCTGCAATATTCCTGACAAAAACGTACAGCATCATAGCCTGAATCTAATCATGAGACACCAGAAAAAAAACACTGAGAATATTCTACAAAATAACTTGCTGAACAATTCAAAAATGACAGAGTCATCAAACACAAGGAAAGACTAAGGAATTATTCCAGGTTAAAAGAGTGTCAATGTTATAACTAAATACAACCCATGTGCACAGTAAGGAGGATAAGGAAAAAAGAAAAAGAAATGAAAAATAATTAAAAATAAATAAACAGGCCAGGCACGGTAGTTCATGCCTGTAATCCCAGCACTTTGGGAGGCTGAGGTGGGCGGATCATGAGTTCAAAAGATCGAGACCATCCTGGCCAACACAGTGAAACCCCAACTCTACTAAAAATACAAAAAAATTAGCTGGGCTTAGTGGCACAGGCCTGTATTCCCAGCTATTCGGGAGGCTGAGGCAGGAGAATTGCTTGAACCCGGGAGGTGGAGGTTGCAGGGAACCAAGGTCTTGCCACTGCACTCCAGCCTGGCCCCTGGTGACGGAATGAGACTCTGTCTCAAAAAAATAAAAATAAAAAATAAAATAAACAAATGCAACCCTAATATCAGATTAAAGCTTGAGGAAAAACTTCGCCATAAAGGACATTATTGGAACAATTAGGCCAATTTGAATAAGGCCTGCAGATTAGTATTTCATCAACATTAACTTTCTGACTTACACTTGCACAAAAGAATACACCTGCTAAGAAATACTCTAGCAGTTAGAAACACAGTACATCCTATCTGCAACTTCTCCAGTGGTTCAACAAAGAGTATCTCTGGAGCACATGGGAGGGAAGGCAATGAAGCCCTCAGAGTAGAATGCCACCCAATAAGGAATCTTACTTAGAGGAAACAGGAGCACTTTTTACTAATTTTGCAGCTTTTCTATAAATTTGTAAATTTAGGGGAGAATTTAAGTCTGTGTAGTAAAATAGAATATTCCATATAAATAATGTTAAAGTAATTGGCAACCCTATACTGTATCTAAAAAACTCCCTAGGTAAATTTAAAATCTTAATATAAAAATCAGACTAATATATTTAACCATTTAAAAGTTGAAAACTTGGCCGGGTACAGTGGCTCACGCCTGTAATCCCAGCACTTTGGGAGGCCAAGGCAGGCAGATCATGAGGCCAAGAGATCGAGACCATCCTGGCCAACATGGTGAAATCCCATCTCTACTAAAAATACAAAAAAAAAAAAAAAATTAGCTGGGCATGGTGGTACATGCCTTTAGTCACAGCTACTCAGGAGGCTGAGGCAGGAGAATCCCTTGAACCTGAGAGGCGGAGGTTGCAGTAAACCAAGATCGTGCCACTACACTCTAGCCTGGGCGACAAAGACTTCATCCCAAAAATAAAAATAAAAATAAATAAAAGTTTAACACTTATGTTCAAACACCGTAAAGAGATAAAAAGAACAAAGAAATTGAGGAGAAAATATCTGTAACATAATACACAAATCCTTACTGTACTTAAAAATGAAAGAAAATAAATAAATAAAATAATTAAAAAAAATAAAAAAAGAAAAAGAAAAACCATCCTAGTGAAAATTTTAAAAATGGCTGGGGGTGGTGACTTACCATGTAATCCCAGCATTTGGGGAGGCTGAGGTGGGAGGATGATTACTTGAGCCCAGGAGTTCAAGACCAGCCTGAGCAGCAGAGCTAGATCCCATCTTTACAAAACATTTTTAAAATTAGCCAGGCCTAACAGTATACACCTTTATTCCCAGCTACTCAGGAGACTGAGGTGGGAGGATTGCTTGAGCCCAGGAGTTTGAGGCAGTGGTGAGCCTTGATTTCACCACTGTACTCCAGCATGGATAACAGAATGAGACTCTGTCTAAAAAAATAAATTATTAAAAAAATGTTCTAGCTTGGAAGTCACCAAAGAAATGCAGAGGAAACCCACGATGAAGTTCACCACGGCTCCCTGTGCGCCACATTCAGGATCCATTTCTACACAGTGACAACAGCTGACATGCGCTTCCCTGCGGCACCTCTCACAATCCCTCCACTCTGCGAGGCTGTACTCTTGCCCACCCAGGCAGGGAAAGAGATGAGCAGAGAATTGACCAGGCCAGGTCAGCCAGGAAGAGGGAGGGTTGGGGGCCCAGCCAGGCAGGCAAACCCCAAGCCATATGGCTTTAGGGAATAATAATGGTCATGAATAAATATTTAACAAGAAAATACCAGTTAAGGTTAAACTGGGGAAAAAGCTAAAAAACAATGAAAATTGAAAAATAACCCAGAGGCTACTGAGTGAAATGACACAACACCTGTGCCGTTATGGTTTGTACTGGAGGAGCACGCTCAATGGTGGGGCTTTTAGAAACCTCACCCAGGCACAAAATGGGCCAGGCCTGAAGAAGGGTGGCAAACCACCATGGAAATGTATTCAGGGGTGAGGAGGGGGCGACTTAGCCTCTTCTTTGCACTTTTCTATATTTTGCAAGTCTTGTTTGTAAAGAACCTGCTTTACTTTATTACAGTGACTTTTAAAAGGTGTTATATTTTTTAAAAGGCCAATTCTGTGAGTGTGGCTGAGGACAACTCGTGCCCACTTCACACCACCGGGCAGCACGTGGCCAAGGGCTGTGCCAGGCCATGGAAGACAATGAACACAGTGCTTGCACCTGCAAAGCACAAGAAAACCCCTGCTCCACCCACGGCTTCCAACAAAAACACAACCAGAATATCCTTAGATGTTAAATGAAGCAGCACACTCCCACATAACTCAGGGTCAGAGAAGAACAGCAGAAACAGAAAACACTTAATATTTGTGCTGCCGCAGCGAGCACCAAACAACAGTTTTAATTGAATGATATATCAAAACTCGTTTATAGCCTCAAGTGCATATTTCAATACAAAACTGAAATCAAATATCTAAGCATTCAAGTTAGAAAAATAAAGGAGAAAGAAAACAACAAAGGCCAGGTGTGCTGGCTCACACCTGTAATCCTAGCACTTTGGGAGGCCAAGGAAGGTGAATCACCTGAGATCAGGAATTTGAGACCAGCTTGACCAACATGGTGAAATCCTGTCTCTACTAAAAATACCAAAAAAATCAGCTGGGCATTGTGGTGAGCACCTGTAGTTCCAGCTACTCGGGAGGCTGAGGCAGGAGAATCACTTGAACCCAGGAGGCAGAGGTAGCAATGAACTGAGATCACACCACTGCTCTCCAGCCTGAGTGACAGAGCAAGACTCTGTCTCGAAAAACATAAAAAAGGAAGAAAATAACAAAGAACAGAAATTGATGAAACAAAAAATAAACTCTCTTAAAAAACAGAATCAAAGACTAAGACGGTTTTTGTTTTTTCAAAAGATCGGCATAAGATCTCAGAAGGAAGATGAGGATGTCAGCATTGAGCTCAGAGCCATCCAAGAGGATATGGAACACTCGTGCCAATCAGTATAAAACTGAGTGGAAAAAGGAAGACTCCCCAGACTGATACAAAAATGGAACATCTACTTAGTCCTATAAACTATTAAAGAAATTACACTGCACTCCAGCCTGGGTGACAGAGCAAGACCTCATCTCAAAAAAAAAAAAAAATGAGCTTCTAATTTAAAACCTTTCCTCGAAGAAAACTCCAGGCCCAACTGACATTTCCAGTAATTTTTCCCAAATATTTAAAGGCAAAAATATTACAAACATTACATAAATTCTTCCAAAGAGTATTTTAAAAAACAATTTCCAACTGCTTTTCTGAGTTCAGCATCATCTTAACAGGAGAACCTCACAAAGACATTATGTAAAGAAAATTTCATATAATTTTATATAAAGAAAATTACAGGCCAGGTGCTGTGGCTCAGGCCTGTAATCCCAGCACTTTGGGAGGCCAAGGTGGGCAGATCACAAGGTCAAGAGATTGAGACCATCCTGGTGGCCAACATGGTGAAACCCCAACTTTAAAAAAAAAAAAGAAAAATTATAGACCAGTGTCTCTTGTAACCAGAGCTGTTAAACTCGTAACAAAATATTCCTCAAATTGAATCTAGCAATATATAAAAAAACAGTACATCATGACCACGGTGAGTCTACACCAGGTTTAACAAAAGTAAAAACTGTAATCGTAGTAGGATAAAGAACCTGCACAAACCACATGCCCTTTAACGTGCCCTCTGACATAGCAATGACACTCCTAGGTACATGACTGTGAGAAATAAGTACAGTACCCAGGTGCCGGAAAAGGGAAGTACAAGAGTGTTCACAGGAGACACTTCATAAAAGCCCAGACTGAAATCCTCCCAGGTGCTGAGGACGGGCAGCTAGCCAGCACAGCACCTGCATTCAACCAAAGGCCCGAGGGAGAGAACACTACTGTTACCCCAGCCACCTGGCTAACCTCAAGCAGATGAGGGGAAGGCAACACGAAGTCCACACCTCAGGATTCCACCTAGACAAGGCTCAAAGTGAGCAACAGAAACCCACAACCTGGTAGGCGTGTGGGCGGCCGCCTCATGGGGACGCCTGAGGGCTCTGGTGGCATTGCCATGTTCGATGTTGGCACCAGGACCTGTTTCCTTTAGAAAATCAACCTGTACACTTTCCTGAATATTTGCTACCCTTAAAAACTGCTACTGGAACACAGGGGGAGTCGCATATGTAATGTCTTTTTAACATTACTAAAAGATAGGGAGAAAATCCATTTTTGTGTTGTAATTATGCTATTCTGAGCCCCAATAGATATTTTGTAGGCTTTAGGGCATATAACTGGATTCAGTAACCTCTGCAGCCTCTCCACATCTACGTGAGTTTTGTTTCTGAGATGGGCCACGAGGGCTGTGTTAGAGAATGCTGCGTCTGGGCCTTGGCCCCCAACCTGGCAAGCCCCCACACTGAGGGAGAGCATCCCAGGCCGAGGCCCTTCGTACCTGATCTCGGCTGCCCTGTGGTCTGGGAGATGCTTGTGGAAATGCTTAAGTGCCTGCATCACGGCCGAGGTGCACTCCACATACGTGTAGTCAATCATGATGTCCCCTGGGGAAGCGAAGGAAGAACCAAGGTGCTGTCTCAGCCTGGCTGCCCGGGGCTTGCAACTCAGGCCAAATCACGACAAGCAAGAGTGTCGCAGTGTGCAGAATCCGTGCCTGGATGCTACCTCCCCGACCGACCTCCAGAGCAAACACTGGCCGGCCCAGGACACACACCTGTACTACAAGAGAGCAAAGATGAGGGGAACGCAGCAGAAAGCTGCAATCCCAGCCCAGAAAGCCATGTGCGATGGGTAGAGGACCAGGAAGGGGGCATGTGAGGTGCCCAAAGGTGGACCAGGGGTGAGATTCTGTCCCCAGGCCAGTACAGTGGCAGCCACGCACACACAGCAGCCAACCAGCCCATGACGTGGGTCCCCTCAGTCCCCAGAGATACCTCCTTGCAGGCGCGCTGGTATTCACGAAGTGGGCTCGCGACACACAGCAGCCTCCGCAGAACGTAAGCCCTGTGGACTGAGCAGGAGCCAGCCCAGGCTGTGGACCTCACTGGAACCCTCCACCATCCCATCCCCGAAGCCGGACCTGATGCCCTCCTATCCACAACACAGGGATCCTGCCAGGGATGGAGGGGCACAGAACACCCCGGGCTGAGGGAGGGCTCCAGACAGATCTGCTGGTGAGCCTGGGCCCTTGCAGCAAGGGGGAAAAGCTGGCTCTGGGGTTTGTGTACCACAGTGCTGGCTGACCACTCACCAAAGACCTCCGAGGGGTTCAGCAGCTCCAGCAAGTGCCCCCCACGCTTAGTCTCGTAGGTGGAGAACCCTCCATCGGGATTCCTCATGTTCAGCAGCTGAAATCACAGAGCACCCGAGAACTCGCCCACATGATGAGCACACACAGACGCCCAGGCCACAGTGGAGATTTCTAGAGGCAACACTAGGGCTGACAACCAATGGGGCAGGAACGGGGGCAAGAAGCCGATTTCCACATTAACCAAGCCCTTGAGTGCCCCAGGCAGCAGCCGCAACCTCATCCTTCAGGGCCTCCATGCACAACCACCTCGGAACACGCCCCCACATGTGCCTATGACTTAGAAACCAAGTGTTGGCCGGGCGCGGTGGCTCACGCCTGTAATCCCAGCACTTTGGGAGGCCGAGGCAGGTGGATCACAAGGTCAAGAGATCGAGACCATCCTGGTCAACATGGCGAAACCCCGTCTCTACTAAAAATACAAAAAATTAGCTGGGCATGGTGGCGCGTGCCTGTAATCTCAGCTACTCGGGAGGCTGAGGCAGGAGAACTGCCTGAGCCCAGGAGGCGGAGGTTGCGGTGAGCCGAGATCGCGCCATTGCATTCCAGCCTGGGTAACAAGAGCGAAACTCCGTCATTAAAAAAAAAAAAAAAAAGAGAAACCAAGTGTGTGCTGCTGCCAGACAGTGCAGGGTCTCCACTGGGAAACACGCACAACAGCCAGATGTGCTGAAAGAATGTGGTACCAAAACCAACAGAAATTCCTTCTTCGGACACCCACTGGAAACCACCAGAGAGAAACCCTGGGGGCCACACCGGCTCCTTCAAGCATCTGCGCTGAGCTGGACACCAGCTCTGTAGTGCAGAGCCCCCTGCAAACAGCCCAGCAAGGCCCCTAGGGGTCCAGCCAGAGCTCACAGTTCTCCACATGCAAACGCTGGCCAAGGACAAGCTCCTACAGCCCGGCTGGAGTGTGTGGTGGGGTGGCGCCCGTGGGAGTGGAGGTGAGCACGCAGCTCATCTGCAGACATGAGCTATGGACGGGGCTAGGACCACAGCCTTACCACAGCCACAGCATCGCAGAGCCGCTCTCGGGGGATGTGCTCGGTTACATAGGGACACTTCTCCTGCAGGAGCAGCACAGCCTTCAAGGCCTCAGCCGTGCAGTCAGCAACAATCCAGCCACAGTCCAGCGTGCTGAAGGAGAAGCCGCCCTGCAGAACACAACCCGTGACCCTAGGCTGAGGGTGTCCACACCCCAGTCCTCGGAGCCACCCAACAGCCACACACATCCCTCCCCATCACAGAGCACCCAGTCAGGACGGGGTCCCATCCACCAAAGGTGTGGGTGCAGCCAGGGGCCCAAGCTGGGCACATCTAGATGGAACTCCAACTTCCAGCACAGGGACCCTCAGGGCAGCAGCTCACACCCTCAACACCTTCAGATCCCACGACGGCACAGGACAGGGCCCAGGTGCCCCCCACCCCCACTGTGAACAGGCAGCAGCAGCTGCGCTCATGCCTAATTTCACAGCCTGCACCTGTGGTCACAGCCCACACCAGCCGAGGTCTCTTCTCCCCTCTGCCTTCCCCGGACGCCCTGGCTACACTTCGGCTGTCCTGAAGCCTATACGTGTGTGCCATGACCACCTGAACCGCCCCAAGGCACGGCCACATGTGCAAGCAAACAGTGCCCCCATGTGCCAGGCAGCTCAGCAACATGAGGCATGGGCCCCTATGCCAGGCACTATCACAGCAGGACATCCAAAGATGCCAAGGGAGGAATCCCCCCTTCAAAGGGAAGGACCCAACCTGCTGAGGGCAGCCCCCCCTGGGAGATGGGGCAGGGATGGGGCTGGCTCCCACATACCTTGCTCATCTGGCGGTAGTACTTCTGGTAGTCGGGAGGGTTATCTGGGATCTGGGCAGCATCAAGGGCAAATGTGGAAGCAGAGAACATGTCAGCATCTGGGACATCACTGAGATAGACTGGGCAGGACTGGAGAGGCAGGATATGCCAGCCACAGCCCCCAGTGGGTGCTGCGAGGCACCTGAGGGCCCAAACCAAAAGCTCACCACCCACTGCTGCTGGGAAACGTGACTGGCCAGCAAGGGCTGAAACTAGCCCAGACAGGAGGCACCTGCCTCCTCTATGATCTCCCCACCAGCCAGGAGGCAAGGAGGTGGCCCAGGCCTCTGTGGTGTGCTCTGCCAGGGGCTCCCGCTGCCTCCTGAACAACCCCAGCTTCGTGGACCTCAGCTCCTGGGCTGTGTCTCCTGCCTCAATGAGAAGGGAAGAGGCCTGGACTGTAGTAGGGTTCAGTCAGCCTCCCCAAGTCCCCATCAACCAGAACAAGTCCTGGGTAGGAGGCAGGAGGCATGAGGAGTCCGCTGCAGGGTCAGCCACAGCAGGACAATGCCCCTCCCCTGTCTGAGCCCCAGATAGGTGCCAGCCTTGGCCACACGAAGGCCAGGAACACCCAGAGGCCCTGCAGAAGCAATGTCCTGATGACATCTGAAGGGACATGGTGAGATGGGCTGGGGGGGAGGGGCAGCTGCTCCAGGCAGAAGGACACTGGCTGAGGCCGTGGCAGGGACAGCGTATGGGAAGACTGTGGCTGCAGATTGGGGTGTAGGCACGTGTGAGACACTGAGGTCAAACTGGGGGCTGGGGCACTGTCTGTGGGCAGCTGATCTAGCAGGATGGACAGGGGTTTTCGCTGCAAACAGTCTCAGGAGGGAACGTCCACAGGCTGGCATCACCTCTATGGGCAAAAGGTACTTCAGAGACCCCGAGGTGGCGTGTAGGCTGCGCAGCTCAGGGTAAATGGCCCCTACCTGTGCCTGGCTCCTGCACACCATGGCTCCAACAGGAGCAGGACACAGAAACTGCCAGCACCCCCAGCACCCCCAGCACCCTGCAGGCCTCACAGAGCTGCTCCAGGTGAGGCCAGCCCAAGGACGGGTGGATGGAACAGGGGTGGGGAGGGGCAACCTGAGAAACCAGTGCAGGGAACAGGGCAGGGTAGAGGTGGGCACTTCTGCCTGTAGGAGCTCCCAGCCCTGATCCCCCTCTTCAGCCCCCTCAGGGCCCCAGGCACAGGCCTCACCTGCGAGAGCCGCAGGAACTCGTGTGCCTTCTGCAGGCAGGATGAAAACTCGGGCCTGTGGTGTCCACCTGCCTGGAAGAGATAGCAGGACAGAGAGGCTGAACCGCCCTTGCATGGCCACCATGGCTGAGTGGTTCCCCGATGGTTCTGGCCACATCCTGCCCCAACTGGGAACCAGAATGAAACTGGCAGGTATCTCCAGAGAGTGCCAGGGTTTCTTGCTGCACTTACCTTTAAAGACAAAAAAATCAACGGTCCATGAGATATGACAAGATGGAAGGGAGCAGAAGAAACCATCTAGGATGCCAGCACCCCACCCACCCAGCGAGCGTCTATGCCCAGAGGATCTCCAGCACCCCAGCATGGGTAGGTCCTTTGAATGGCCCAGCCCTCAGGGCACTCCAGAAACACCTTCAGAATCCCACCAACCTCATTCCCAACAGCATAAAAATCCACTGTTGTTTCTCTAGAGTATTGGCTGGAGAATGCCCATAATGAGCAGTTCCAGTTCTAAGAGCCTGGAGTCCCACTCCTGCCCATGCTCTGAGAAACAGCCTTCACCAGGCTCCCCTGCGTACACGGCCTCCAGCCCCTCCCCTCCCAAAGCCTCTGACCCAGCCCAACACCCAGGACTGCTGGGCAAGGCCGCCCCCTCCACAGCACCACCATCTCAAACCAGAGGCCAGAGCCCAGGTCACTGGAAACTTCAAGGAGTCACAAGTGTGTGGCCGGCAGTGCTGCCTTCAGGTGGACGCGAGGGCTCACGTGCACAGGAAGGAAGGTCAGTGGAGGCTGAGAAAAGAGAATGAGCCACGAACCTCTAGCAGAGCTTGGATGGCAAAGGCAGTGTCCCAGATCTGTGAGCCGTTGGTGCCCTACACACAAAAGACAGGTGTTACAGCAGCCTCCCCTACTCCCACCTACGGCCTCCAGGATCCGACAGGCCCCTGAGGGCCAGGTGTGGGGGCTCCCATCCAGCCAACACTCAACCTCAGGCTCTGAGCCCTGTGCACCCCTCATGGCTGACAAGGGCCTCAGAGAAGGCTGAGCCCTGCAGACAAACATGGGTCAGGGAGCCCCACCTTTCTTCATGGGCCACTAGGCAGGACAGTGTCCCTCTCAGGACACCTGTACGACTGAACAATCCCTCAGAGGCTCCAGCACCCACACACAGAGCATCCAGCTGCCCTCGCCCAATGAGAGAGGTGCACTTCAGTCATGGTGATGCCTGGAAATGACCCCCATTTCTGAGTATACCTGAGGTGACGGAAACTGCATAGGGCTGGGAAGGCCCCACCTCAAATGTCACCCCGGACCTGGACTCCCAGATACATACTCTGGTCTCAATTCATAAGGGCTGGTGACCAAACCCCAGTGAGACAGAGCTGGACACTGACCACAACAGACATGGGGATGGTGGTGGGGGGCGGCAGGGGACAGAGGAATCCAGTCATCATGCACTGGAGGAACGAGCCAGCGACCACCAGAAAAGCATTCTCACAAAAGAAACACAACAAGATAAAGCCTCAGTGCATGGCCAGTTTACAAACACTCAGAGAACAGAGGGAGCAACCAGTCAGATCCGGAATGTGAAGCCCTTCAGGGAGGAGAAAAGAGGCCACAGAAGACTGCTGTGGACGAACAGGAGCTCAGATACCAACACGTGAAGGCCTGCGTGGGCCTGGCCTGAACCCTGATTCACACACACCAACAGCAACATGAGGACTACACTCAGGAACCGTCGTGAAGTTTGCTGGGTGTGACAGCCACAGAGCATTCTATAAAACACAGAGGCACTCAGCAGCCCGAGGTGCACTGAAGAGAGGGCGCAGCGAGAGGGCTGGTCAGGGAGTGGCATGGAGGCCAGGGCCTGCTCTGGGACTCATTACTCATGTAACTCATCCACTTTGCATGTGTTTTGAAAACCATTTCAGGCCGGACGCGGTGGCTCAAGCCTGTAATCCCAGCACTTTGGGAGGCCGAGGTGGGAGGATCACGAGGTCGAGAGATCGAGACCATCCTGGTCAACATGGTGAAACCCCGTCTCTACTAAAAATACAAAAAATTAGCTGGGCATGGTGGCGCGTGTCTGTAATCCCAGCTACTCAGGAGGCTGAGGCAGGAGAATTGCCTGAACCCAGGAGGCGGAGGTTGCGGTGAGCCGAGATCGCGCCATTGCACTCCAGCCTGGGTAACAAGAGCGAAACTCCGTCTCAAAAAAAAAAAAGAAAACCATTTCACAAAACATGGACTGTGCCCAGGGAGCCTCAAGGGAGCTCAAGGCCAGCTGGGTGAAAGCCCATGGCCGGGGAAACCTGGCATCAAGGGTAGCCCTGGGGCGGGCAGTGCTGGGCCCCTGGGTGTCCATCCCAAACATGACACCCAGGACACCTCTGGAGATTCCACATTTCCACACCGAACCAGGTGGGGGACAGAAGACAAACCCGCAGGGCATAACCCTCACCAGACCACAACACACAGGGCAACACTGTCTGGGCTTCTGACACACTCATTGTGATAATGCACAAGGGGCACAGGCTCAGCCCAGTTGGACAGAACTGGGGTCTACAGGGCCCCCAGAGCCAGGACAGGACCAGGGTCAGCCAGGACCCCACACTCAACACTGCTCTGCTGCCCCCAGAGCCACACCCAGGACAGCACCATCTACAAAATCTAGACGCTGAGCAGGATGACGTGGAGAAGGACGTGCGATACACAGCACAGACGGTGCAGGCAGGGAGCCCACAGCTCCTGTGCAGTGGGCTGTTCTCCCACCTCGATGACCAACCCACACTGCAGAGCAGGTGTCCCCAAACTGCGGCCCCCTGAGGCCATTTATCCGGCTCCCCGCCGCACTTCAGGAAGGGGCACTTCTTTCATTGGTGGTCAGTGAGAGGAGCACAGTATGTGGTGGCCCTCCAACGGTCTGAGGGACAGTGGCCTTGTGTAAAAAGTTTGGGGACGCCTGCTGTAGAGCAATGACCTGGAGACCACCACAACCTCTACCTGGAGCAGGCCACACTCAGGCGGATGCTTCCGATGGCAGAGACTGTATAGCAGAACACGGCGCTGGCCCTTCCTAACACAGCTCTCAGCTACTCTGGTCCACAGACTTCCGAGAAATCTGAGATGCCTCGGGCCTCCCCCACAGTGGTAGCAGACGCACAACCCCTGAAGGGCAAGGACCCTGGTCAGGCATCCCTGCCTGGAAACAAGTGTATCTTCTAAAAGCTCAGGGAAGGATCCAGAAAGAAGCCAACTAACGCCATGTGGCCAAGTGTCCAGCACACCCTCTCCCTGGACGTGGCGATGCCTGCCTCCCCGCTCCCTTGTGCTTGGTGCCCCTCATGACTAGGTTCCAGCCCACTCAGAGCAAGTCCCCAGGCAGCTCCTAGGCCCAGCCATATGCCACCATGGCCCTCCAGACTCCTGTCCTGTGCACCCACAACTTTAAGGAGGAGCCTCTTAAGAGTGTCGCTGGGTACAATGGCTCACACCTGTAATGCCAGCACTTTGGGAGACTAAGGCAGGCGGATCACCTGAGGTTAGGATTTCGAGACCAGCCTGGCCAACATGGTGAAACCCTTGTCTCTACTAAAATACAAAAATTAGCTGGGCGTGGTGCTAAATGCCTGTAATCCCAGCTACTCGGGAAGCTAAGGCAGGACAATCACCTGAACCTGGGAGGTGGAGGTTGCAGTGAGCCGAGATTGAGCCACTGCACTCCAGCCTGGGCAATAGAGTGAGACTCCATCTCAACAGCAGCAGCAAAAAGAGTGCATGGGGGAGAGGCCCCCACTAACCAGAGCCGCCTCCTGCCACGGTAACAAGAGGAGAGCTTCTGCAGCTCCGGTTGGGCCCACTCGGACCATCAGGGCAAAGAGCAAACAGGACAGCTGCAGACAGACACTCGAGAACTGTGGGCACCCACGGGGACACAGCCAGAGGCCTCAACTGACTCAGCCTCCGGTCACACTCTGCCGGGACTTGGTCCAGGAGGAGTTACTTCTGCATCTTAATGAACCCAGAAGGAAAAGTAATGAAGGGTAGAAACGACTTCAAAGGAGTCCTGCAGCCCTTACCTGCATTTTCATGCCGTCAAGGCCCATCCTGTGAGGACAAAAATGCCCAAGTCAGGTGCAAGGAGAAAGCTGGAAGCCCAGCCGGCTACCCAGACCCTGTACCCAGAGAGGGCATCTGTCCCCTCCCCCAAGGCCTAGCACTGGCCTGGATGCCGCCCCAGCTGGGCTGCTGGGCTGCTAGACTCCTGGGCCCACACTCTAGAGAAAACAGGACACACTCACCCAGGAAGGGCGCACCCAAGCCAAAGGGCAGCAGGAGGCTCCCCAACCCCTGACCCCTGACCCCAGGCTGCCTCAGCCCTGCTGCCCGTGTTCGGTGCTGTGGGACCAACCAGGGCTTTCCATTGTTGAACCGTGCTGTGCCATCCACGACAGGGGCCCACCTTCAGGGCATACTCCATGTCTAACAAGCTCCCCTTGTCCACAGGTCTTCCTGACACCAACCTGCAGCTGCCCTGCTGCCCACCACACCCCTCCTCACTCTACCTTCTGCGACCACCCCACTCTTCCACTGGGTGGCAAATCTTCCAATTCAAAGACAACCCTAGGTGGCTTCTACAAGCCCTGACACTGCTGGTCCCTGGTGGTATTCCCTGGCGGTGTTCCTTGTTGCTGTTCCCTGGTGGTATTCCCTGGCGGTGTTTCCCTGGTGGTGTTCCTTAGCGGTGTTCCCTGGCTGTGTTCCCTGGTGGTGTTCCTTAGTGGTGTTCCCTGGTGGTGGGTGCTCCCTGGCAGTGTTCCCTGGTGGTATTCCTTAGCGGTGTTCCCTGGTGGTGGGTGCTCACTGGCGGTGTTCCCTGGTGGTGTTCCCTGGCAGTATTGCCAGATGGCACCGTGGAGGCCCCCTCACTGGGATGCGGCTGAGGCTCAGATCCAGCCTTCGTGTGGCTGCACTGAGAAGCCTCACCAGCACATCACAGCCACACTCACCAGAGATAGTCCGGGATTCTGGAAACGTGCTCCTGGAAAGCAGGGGAGGTGGGCCCGTCCACATACCAGCGTACAAGCATGTTGATGGTTTTCGAGATCTGCCGGAGACACAGCCCTATCGGGGATCTGCTCCAGACCCACAGCAGCCCCCAGGGAGAGGGTCACATGCAGCTCACTCAGGGCCAGGACAGGGGCCTTCTGCTCTAACAGGCGGGACTGAGCGAGGATGGACAACTGTGTCCCCAGGACCCGACTCAGACACAGGCAGTGTCAGCTGAGGCCATGGCCTGGCATAGGATGAGGAGGGACCGCACTCCATCAGTGAGAAGTGAAGGGTTCCAGGAGAGGCCATAGGGGCCAGCCCACAACCAGAGGGGCATGGGCTGTCAGGTGCCTTAGAAACACCACAGGGGACAGAGGCAGGGCCTGAGGGGCCCAGGAAGAGATGTGGACATGGGACTGTAGTAGTAGGAAATGTTTGCTCCCCTCCTTCCTCAGAGCAGACTGTTCCAGAGGCCCGAACTTTTTATTTATGGATCTTACAAGTCAAGATCCAATTGCAAGATGTTTCTAATGTGCTTAGTACAGACGTGCTCTCTATGGGATTAAACCACAACCCACACAGAATCACGTCACTGCTGAGCAGAAAACAAGGGACCTGCTGCAAGGTCAGTCAGGATTTGTGATTCACTGAGGTGGCATCAGGCCCAGAAAACCCGAGATGCAGCATCAGGGTGGGACTCAGTGGCCCAGTGCCACCTGGGTACATCCAGAGAATGCCAAGGCCAAGCCACTACACCGCAGCAGCTACGGCACAGCCCAGGGGCTGCTGACTCTGTCAGGAGGCGGCCCTGAGCCAGCACAGCCTAGGGATTTCACCCTCCAAGGTCACTGAACTAGCCCATACCTGGCCCCCTGCGGACCCCACAGAAGAGAGAGGTCCAAGTCCCTGGTTAGGCAGGAGGAATCAGGAGTGGAACCCAAGGACCCTGCTACTCCCACCCACCCTGGGCATCTCTAAACCCCCTGAGAGAAGGACAATAATGAACTATTTGGGGAGGGGAATTCAGAAGGAATCAAGTGAAAAAAAACACCCCTCCCAGCTAGCCAGAAAGATCTCAGGAAGGGCCTCCAGGAGAGGGTCAGGCACCCCCTAGGACAAGAGCAACTGGAGAACAGGAGGGAGGGTCAAGTGTGGTGGGGCGGCTTCGCTGAGCTGGGCGTGCAGGGAGCCAGGACAGAAGTCCTCAAACACCTGTGGGATCTGAGGGCCACCTCTCAAATGGCAGTGCACTAGGCTCCAGGGGACCCTACTCCCAGCTCATGGCTCGGCCTCCCGGACTTTACTTTGGACCCCAACCCCCAGGGGCTGCAGCCAGAGGCCAGGCAGAGGCACTGACCGGGCCGATGCTGATGCTTTTGGTGAATCGGTCGTCAGCCGCGATGTGCTCATACAGCTTCTGCACGGCCTGCTGCCGCAGGTGGGCACTGTGGTAGCGCTCATACAGGTTGAGGAACGCTGCAGGGGACAGGGGTCAGTGGACACCAGGCACCAGGACACTGGCCTCAGCCTGGAGCCCCATGCACCTGGACTTGCCCTTCCCCAGGGTTCCCCTTGCCCCCCGCCCCCAGACTTGGTTGCTGAGCTCCTCCTTCCCTGCCCAGGAGGGGCTGCCCCACACCTCCTACACACACCCTTGCTCAGGATGAGCTCCTGAGAGTAGAAGTCAGCACAGCCGGTTCTAGGGGTGGAAGGACAGGGCTATGAGATCCCGCCTCCTGGGGCCTGGCACAGAGGAGGTGGCCCAGTGCCACGGGCAGGGGATGAGTTCATGAATGAGTAGATGACACCCCGACCACGGACTGCCCTGCCAGCCCCTCAGGAGGCACTCACCATATACCACATGGAGCAGCCAGCTGTGCGGTGTATACAGCTCGTCAGGGGCCACGTTGTTCCTCTGCGCCTGCCAGTTGATGCTGGCGAAGTCCTCCACATAGAGCTCCTGGTGGGGGCAGCCGGCTAGCCTGGCTCAAACCAGGAGGGGCAGCCTCCCACCACCCACCCTCAGGACCCTGGACCAGCGCCTTCCTGGGTCGGGGGGGCCCTTCCAGCAACTGACTCTGAGGGCACATGAAGGCCCAGCCATTGTGGCTATGTGTGTACCACTCTGCGGCGTTCCCCAGCTCCATGAGCCCCAGGCCTGCCCAGAAGCTCATTTCCTCCCTCTGCCCCTCCTCCTTCCCCAGGGCAGACCTGATAGACATCCTGCACCTCAAACCCCGCCTCAGGGCCTGCTTCCTGAGGACACAGTGCACATCTGCCTCCTGCATCTCTTGATTCCTGGATGTCCCCCTAAGAACCCCGGGCAACGGCTACTGCCTGTCCCATAGCACGAGTCCCCTCTGGGCAGAGCTTGGAGGAAGGTGGAGGCCCACTCTGATCACAGGGCTCCCAGTTCCACAGGGCCCCCAGGTGAGTGGACAGGTGTGGTTAGATTCCAGGAGCCCCAGGCCCTATGGGTCCCCGCCCCAGAAGCCTTCGCTCTGTTCCCTGATGAGGTCCTACCTGGCGGAGGCTCTGGACGAGCAGGTCTTCTGTGGCACTCAGCCGAACAGCGTAGCAGTAGCTCATGGGCAGGTAGACCTGCCGGCAGTGGCACCACAGTGTGGAGGGGTGTGCTGGTGCCCAGTCAGGAAACAGCCTGGGGCAACAGCAGGAGTCAGCTGGAGACCCCCAAGACTCAAGCCTGCCCCTCCGCCAGTATCCACACCTTGGGCCCTTCCAAGCACGGACACTGGTGGATGGCTGTTCCCTACCACATCAGTGCACCTGCGGGCATTTCTCAACCGTGCTCCTGAGGGGGACTGTCAAGCCATAGGTGCACTCTCCAAGGAGCTGCACCTCCTGGTTCAGTTAGCATTTTATATCCTAAAGCCAGGTGATGGAGCTCCTAAATGCTTTGGATTGTCTGTGGGTTTCTTAGCTGCAACAAATATACCTTGGTCACATAAAGCATCAACAAGGGGAATATGGGGTGAGGGCCCCAGGGAATACTCTTGGCTATCTTTGCAACTTTTCCAGAAATTGGAAACTATTCCAAAATTTAAAGTTTACTTTTAGGCTGGGCAATCCTAGCACTTTGGGAGGCCGAGGTGGGCAGATCACGAGATCAAGAGATCAAGACCATCCTGACCAACATGGTGAAACCCCGTCTCTAATAAAAATACAAAAATTAGCTGGGCATGGTGGCACGTGGCTATAATCCCAGCTACTTGGGAGGCTGAGGCAGGAGAATCGCTTGAACCCAAGAGACGGAGGCTGCAGTGAGCTGAGATTGCAACACTGCACTCCAGCCTGGCAACAGGGCAAGACTCGGTCTCAAAAATAAATAAATAAATAATAAAGTTTACTTTTAAAAGTTTATTTAAGACACTTTAGGCCAGGCATGGTTGCTCACGTCTGTAACTTTGGGAAGCCAAGGCTGGCAGATCACCTGAGGTCAGGAGTTTGAGACCAGCCTGGCCAACATGGCGAAACCCCATCTCTACTAAAAACACAAAAATTAGCCAGGCATGGTGTTATGCACCTGTAGTCCCAGCTACTCGGGAGGCTAAGGCAGGAGAATTGCTTGAACCCAGGAGCCGGCGATTGCAGTGACCCGAGATCATGCCACTGTACTCCAGCCTGGATGATAGAGCGAGACTCCGTCACGGGAAAAAAAAAAAAAAAAAAAAAGACACCAGATAATAAGAAATTAATGTTGGCTTTGCTGGGTACTTAAAAGCATTCGGTTCTATTCAGAAAGACAAACACTGATCTTTTAAAGGCATGCACACTGAGTCCACAGGTAAGGTGTGACACTGGGACACGCTTCACATTCAGCAGCAAAGGAGACAAGGTCAGCAGCAGCAGCAACAGCAGCACAGGACGTCCCTGTGCAGGCTGCGGGAGGGACAGTTCCTTCTACTTCCACAGATGCTCAGTTTTCCACAAAATGCAAGCCACCCCTCCCTGCCTGCAGCCTGACTCAGGGTACCCCCATCCACAGCACAGCCTCCTTCCTGCCAAGTTGGGAACCCCCTTTCTGTAACCCTGTAGGACTCAGCTCGATCAAGGACCCTGCCAGGAGCCTAACTGCACCCACCCACAGAACAACCACCCTTCTCTGTCTAACAGCCTGCACCTGACCCACAGTCCCTGTCCCTCTACTCTTCAGGGAAGCAGCAGCCACCCGACAACCAAATCAACAGCAGGCATACCACATCTCTGGGAACAGGGTATTGAGGCCTTCCCAGCTGTAAACATTCAGGACAGCCAGCCAGAACTTCCCCCAGGAGGGGATGGCCACAGCGCCACCTGAGAGGGAAGAGAACAGGCCCACGTCATCTGCTTCTTGTGAGCAGAGCCCACGCTGCCTCTAGCTGGGAAGCTTCACCCTCCAGGAGTCATGCATACCCCTCCCCATGAGCCAAGGGCAGCCTCATGCGGATATTGCAACCCCATGTGAGAAGCAGGTTCCAGAGTGCTCAGAAATGCCCTGGACGCACGGTCCCTAGGTGAAACCAGTGGCTTTCCTGGGAGTGTTTCCAGCCCCAGGAGAGGTGTTTCCAACCCCTGGCCCCAGGAAGGAGCACATGAAGACAGCTACCTGGAAGGTCCAGGGACACCTCAGTGCTCAGGCGAGCGAGGGGCCCAGGTACACATGGCAGCCACGTCCACATGTGCCTGGAGAAGGCAATGAGCAGAAGTGAGAGCGCACACTCGGCCTCGCACTCTGAGCCAAGCCTCAGCTGCCCCAGTCTGTCACCTCCACTTGGCAGACTGGGCCTGTACGGGAACAATGACAAGCCCCAGACTCCGGAGCAGCTCCGCCACACTGGCCCCATATGCCAGAGCCACTTCCAGCAGCACTCAGTTCCGGCACAGCCACACTGTCTAAACACACTTCTGAGGAGTCCCTGCTCTAAATCCCAAAGGGTACGCAAAAGTCAGTAACACCCACAAAGCTACTAAAGAGCAGCCTAAACACATTCCTCCACCAGGCAGGCGCCAGGACTGTGGTGGGGAACCAGTCAGCAGCCGTGGGAATACAGCATCATTGACACCAAAGGCTGACAGTGAACTGATGACAATAGTGACAAGCTCATGAAGGAAGGAGGCAGGATCTCACGGGAATGCATCACAGGACACTCCACCTGGCACGGTAGGTCAGGAAGAGGCCCTCAAAGAAGTAACACTGAAAGTGTGAGCCACTGGGGCAGGAGTGGAAGGTAAGAAGTTCCAGGTTAAGGAAGCAGTGCATGGTGAGCCCTGGTGTAGTAAGGACCTTTGAGGAGCTGACAGTCACCCCTGTGCATGGAGCAAAGAGCAGAGCAGACAGGATGGGCTACGGAAGGTCTGCGAAAGGCAGGGGGCAAAAACCAGGCCAGGCTCTGCAGAGCCACAACATGAGCTAGACTTTCTTGGAGCAGCAAGAGCCATGGATTCCCTTGGCTGAAATCACCCTTAGGGCTGACAGGCAAGAGGAGAGGTAGCCAGGCTGGGCTTGGTGAGGTCAAGAGCCAGCTTGAAAGGTGCAAGCTCCAGGGCTGCTCTTGCCTGCAGCCAGGCTGCCCCCAGAAGGTGGCTTCCCGTGTTCTTCCTCAAGCAACATATTAATGTGTTTCGTTTAAGTCTTGGTCAATTCAGGAAACAATTACCTGGTTGTCTTAATTTGTTTTGCTTTTTTTTTTTTTTTAGAGACATGTTCTCACTCTGCCACCCAGGCTGGAGTGCAGTGGTACAATCAGCTCACTGCAACCCAGAACTCTTGGGCTCAAGTGATCCTCCTGCCTTATTAGCCTCCAAGTAGCTGGGAGTACAGGTGCATACCATCACACCTGGCTAATATTTTTCACACCTGGCTAATATTTTATTGTTTTTTTGTAAAGACAGGGTCTCACTATGTTGCCCAGGCTGGCCTCAAACTCCTAGGCTCACCTCGGTCTCCCAAAGTGCTGGAATTACAGGTGTGAGCCACTGTGCCTGGCTCTTAATTTGCTTTTTAAGAAATTATGCATCTGTTAAACAGTTTCTGCCTATTTCTGCTTTGACAAATTCCCTGTTGATGTGTTTTGCCCATTGTTTCATCTGGAGGTGCACCTTTCTGTATCTCGTTTGTGAGAGCTTATTATAGAGCTGACGTGAGTCCTTGACCCAGCACGTGCTGCATGGGGCATACCTTTCTTGTGAAGAAGGTTCCGGGCTCGTACCATGTCAGGATCATCAGGCCCAACACCCAGAATTCTGAGACAAACATAGTTGAGTGCAGTCCCAAACACAGTGGACTTATCCTCAATGTGCCTACGGGAGCAGAGCACAGGTGAGAAACTGGTATCCGTCCTTACCTCTAAGAAATAAATCAAAACTTTCTGGAGTTTTCTCAGAAAACTAAGAATGCTAAAATCCCTTACCCTGACATGCCATGCCAACACAGGAGACACCTGAGCGGCCACTCTCCAGCAGGTGTTCATGCACCTCCCATGACATCCGAGCCCCTGCTCCATCCACCTGACCTGCCTGCTCTACACCTTCCCGAGGGCAGTCCACTTTGGGCTACAGCTCTGCTCCCAAAGTGTGCGCCACACTGCAGGAAAGCTGTCCAGCCCTGCCTCCACCTGTTACCAGCCCAGAGTCTATGGGGGGAAGCTCTGCAAGAGCCGAGGCAAGAGTCTGAGGCCTCAGTCTGTTTTCATATAAATACTGAATTAGAAAAGAATTAGAGATATAGTTACATAGTTATTCCTATATACAATTATTACATAATCACAATCACATAACTACTTACATGTAATCATAAATACATATATACAATCATATCATCTTTAATTTTACTAAGTCTCAGGTCATGAAGTAGTCCTTCTCTACAGGTGTGAAGACAAGAAACTGAAATAAAGACACAAGACACAGAAATAGAGAAAAGAGTTTGAGCCCAAGGGTCCACTGCCAACCAAATCTTGGAGAGCAGCAGTGGCCCTCGAGGGCCTGGACACTCTGACTTTTACTGAGTACAAAGCAGGGAGCAGGGTAGAAAGGCTGAGGCAATGGTGGACAGTGACGGGGTCAGGTAAGTCACATGTCTTGGAGACAGGGGCTCGGATTTTCAAGAAGCCGAGGCAAGGGGAAAACCTAATGCGTCAGCACTTTTTTCACACTTGTCAAGAATACCAAGGACATTAAAATTTATGTTACTAATTCTTATATTTTGAGAAAGAGACGAACCACGTGCTGAGGCAGAACATGAAAGCAGACATGGAACGTGACCACTGAAGCACAGCGTCACATAGAGACAGTTAAGTCCCCAGACGTCTGCAGGCCTCCCTGAGAGCCGCCAGGCCCACCACAAGAGCTTGGAAGAGCAGAGTTTTCTCCTAACTTCCGCGAGGAAGGAGACATCTCGGCCATCTTGGGCGTCTCCTTCCCTAGCTGGCTAAACAGCCGGCACTTTCACAGCGCTGGTGCTGCCGCACAGCCAAGGCACCCTCCAGCAGCCTTTACGCGGGGGTGACAGAGGGCTTAGAGCATCTTGCCTTACGGTCACCTCTTTTTCCAATGCCACTTCAGTTCCATACTTCTTGACCTGAGACTTATTAGTAAAATTAAAGATTATATGATTGCCTATATGTATATTTATGATTAGATGTGAATACCCATGGGATTATTTATGATCATATATAGGAATAATTATGTAACTATATCTCCAATTCTTTTCTAATTCAATATTTATATGAAAGTAGACTGAGGCCTCAGACCGTTGCCTCGGCTCTTATGGGGTTTCCCCCTAACAAGCGTCAAGGGCAATTTTCTTCTGCCTTAGTGATAATAGACTGACAGTTTCCACATGTGGGTCTCAAGAGTGTCCTAACAGCCACAAAACCCATTTAACACGAGGTGTGAAGCCAAGGCCCCACCTGCACAGCCTCAGCCCACTCCCCTCCTGCTAGGCTCTCCCCAACCCACCCCAGGCCCACAGCTGCCATCCTCCTACCCCCCTGGCAGCTGCCTGGAAACTCAAGCATCTCCCACACGAGAACACACACATGCATATGCAGTGACACTAGGGCAGGACACTCACAGGCCCCAGCCGCCGTCGGGTAGCTGCACTGACCGCAGGTACCGCACAATCTCTTCTCTGTATCCAGCTGGCAGAGGGATGCGTGCCACGTGGCAAGTGATCAGGAGGCCTGTGTGACAGGAGATGTTTCTCGCTTTGGGGAGGTGGTCATCACTGCTAAGACCAGGCCCCTTTCCTCCTGACCACCCCACTCCAAAAGGGAGCTACCTACTTCCCACAAAAACACCCCTGGAAAGGCCATTCCTCCCAGGCCAACAGGGACTTTGGGAACAGGATCAGAGAAGACGTCAGCCACAGCACAGGCGATGCTCCCTGCCTAGGGCCTGCAGAGCCCACTTGGCCACGCCTGGATCGCATGACCCTCTGGATCAGAGAAACAGCAAACACTGCACAGCACCTCAGGAAGGCCTCCCCCAAGTGCCCTGAAGGTCCAAAAGGAACCAGCATTTTAGGGACCATCTCTTCCTAACAGTTATAATGCTGTTGGGACCGGGAAATGTGCAGACAGGAGCATAGCCAGTCTGCAGAGCCAGCATCTTCCTGGTTTTACAGGCAAGGAAACTGAGGCAGCCAGTAAATGGTGGGGCTAGGTCAGACCCCTATCAGTGCTCACCACAGTGCTGCCCAGTGCCACACAGGCACACTCGACAGGAGCTGTCTACACAGGATCATGGACTCCAGGAGCATTTTCCAAAGTCCAGAAAGAAGGAAGAAAAGACCCAACTCACAGCCAGCCCACCAGAAGAGTCCCAGCAAGCTAAGCCCAGAGCCAAAGCAGCAAGAACAAAACAACACAGTAACCTCACTGACCAAACACCACAGCGTGCCTGACGCTGTGCACATAACCAAACCTGATTCCAATCCTGTCACAGATGAAGCTACCGATGCAAAGTGAGGCTGACTCATCTCCTGACCAACTCTATGTCATTGTCTTATCATGAGCCCCGGGAATTGTCTCAACAGGCCCTGATGGGGCCAAGGGAAGAGCACCTCAACTTCCCATAACAACAGGGCCTCAAATCCCAGGACAGAAAAACTCAATGCTGTACAGTGCAGGTAGCAGCAGGGCTGGGAGTCAAAGCAGAGAAGGAATCCCAGTGCTTGTCTTGCTAGTCTGGTGACCTGGAATAAATATGCCTCAGCTTCCTAAAGGATCCCATTAGGCTTATTCTAAGGACTAAAAGAAGAGCAGGCCTTGAGGAAGGCTTGGACTGCAGTAAACACCATGGAACCATTTTTAACATTAAAGGCCAACTCTTCCCAAACTAACAAACACATAAGCCTGATGCAACTTCAAAGTCCCAACAGGTTTTATTCTGGGATAGAATCAGGATAAAGGCAATTTGGATGAGTAAATGGATAGACACACCTACGAGATATTTTAAAAAGAAAGGCAACAAAGGTATATAAGGACTTTAAATTAACTACAAAGTCATAATTAACAGCATAGTAAAAGAAAACGACGTATCAGTAAGAGTTATCACAGAAAGAAACCCTATTTATGTAGGAGTTCACATCAGTGAATCAATGTTATTACAAGTCACTAGGGAAAAGGTCCTATTGCATAGGAAATTTCCCATTTTACAAGGCTGAGGATTTCTGTGAAGAAACACTCCTAGGATGCAAGATAGTCTTGTGTAGCCAAACCAGTTCAGTACCCAGGCAATCCAACTGCTATCCTCCTCCTACTCACTGGCCTGAACCTGAAGCTCCCCTGCAAGCGCTCCCCTGCAATAGCTCAGGACAAGCTCACAGCAGTTACCAGCTTCCCGCCCACCACTCTGCCCACCTACAGCCCCTTGGCATAGGCTGGGCCATCCACCTGGAATGCCCATCCCACTCTGTGCATATACTTCAAAGCCCACCTTCCTCCTCCCTCAAGGCAACAGACCCCTAGTGAACCACTTGCTTGTCATCCTACATTGCCAAGGCTAGCTGATCCCCTAGCACGGACGGCAGGTCGACTTTGACACAGGGCAGAGTTTGCTAGTCCTTTCCTATGTAAGCTTCTGGATTTTCACCTCTTCATCTAAACCCTAGACCAGGCTGGGCCAGGATCCCAAGGATTACCCAGGGAGGCCATACCCTCAGGCTGGGGGGGCAGCACACTCCTACCTGGCAGGAGGAAAAGTGGGCCACCGTAATCACCCGTCCAGTGCCCATCCTCAGCCTGCAGCCCCTTGTAAAATGTCATCCCGTTCAGAGCCCCCTCGCAGGCGGTGTGGGCTTTTGGCAAGTCCTTAAAGTAATTCTTCTGTGAAGAGACCAAAAAAAAAAAAAAAAAAAAAGAGAGAGAGAGAGAGATAGAGCAAGCTGAGGGTCTTGTTGCCTGGCCAGAGGAGCCCTCCTCACATACAGCCCAAGTCAAAATAGTGAATCTAAATTACTGTAAAAGTTTCAGCTGTTTCCATCAAAAGTATGAAACTCTTTGATTAGAGTATCACACCTCAGCAAAGCAAAAGGACAGTTCCACATTTTCATTGCTTTCCTTTCCAGTCACGGATTCTTCACAACTTCTCCAAGATGTCTGGTATAAACCAGGCACCAAAGGGTGGGGCGGGGCACGGATGCCCCCCGGGTCCTGGACGCGGGCCTCTCAGAAAGGGCCCAAAGGATGGCACAGCCTCTCCCACGGTGGCCAGGGCTTGGCGGAGACCCTGGTTACACTGCAGACTCCGACCAGCCAAATCTCTTACAGTGCACACAAATAAGACACTGGGTCCAAAACCTTTTTGTGCATAAAAACAAAGTTATGGCCGGGCGTGGTGGCTCACGCCTGTAATCCAAGCACTTTGGAGGCCAAGGGGCCGATCAGCTGAGGTCGGGAGTTCAAGACCAACCTGACCGACATGGTGAAACCCCGTCTTAAAAAAAAAAAGTTACAACTGTCTTTGTAAGTCAGAAATTATCTCAAAATAAGATGCTAAAAAATAAAATCAGGAGGGTCCTGTGCGTGGCCTGTAGACTAAGGGGCCGCGGACGCAGTGCCCCGGGGCGCTCGCACCACCCGCCCTCCCGAGGGAAACCGGCTCCTCGCGGCTCCCCGCTCAGCGCCCCGCGGGGTCCCCGCGCTCGCGGACGCTCCGCGGACGCCACTTACGGTGTCCAGCCCCAGGGCGTGGGCTTCCAGGCCGGTCTGCCCGCGGCCGGCGCGCTCGTCCTGCAGGTAGGTCCACGTCTGCCGGCCCATCTCGCAGCTGAGCCGCCAGCGCCCGAGGTCGGTGGCGGGCTCGGTCTTGTAGGGGCCCCCGCGGCGCCGCAGACACCTGCGGACCACCGGCCGTCAGCGACCCCCGCCCCGGCCCCGACCCCGCCCCCCCGGCCGCCGGCCCGCTGCCCGCGGCGCGCTCCCCTCAGCACCCAGGACCACCCCGCATTCGCCAGGGGCCCGGGGCGAGGGGACTCACGTGCCGTCCGTCATCGCCGCGGCCGAGCTCCACGCCGCGAGCCGCCGGCCGCCCGCTCCGCGACAGGCCGCCCCGCCCCGCCTCCCTCGCGCCGCATTACGCAGGCGCCGGCCTCGGCCGACGCGCAGGCCCAGGTGGGCCGATGTCCGCGCAACCAATCAGAGCACCGCGAGCGTGCGCCCGGGCTGTGCCAGGCCACCACAGTGGCTGAGCGCGCGGCGCCCCACGCGGAGTGGGGCGGGGCCTGAGGGGCAGGGCTGGTGGGTGGGGCATGTGGGCGGGGCCGGTGGTGGGACCGGTGGGGGGCGGGGAGGTAAGTGGGGCCTTGTTGGCGGGAACTGAGGGGCGGGGCCGGTGGGTGGGGCGTGGGGACAGGGCCCGTGGTGGGTGGAGCCGACGGGGCGCAGGGAGGTGAGTGGGGCCCTGTTGGCGGGAACTGAGGGGCGGGGCCGGTGGGTGGGGCGGGGGGACGGGGCCGGTGGTGGGTGGAGCCGACGTGGCGCAGGGAGGTGAGTGGGGCGCTGTGGGCGGGAACGGAGGGGCGGGGCCGGTGGATGGGGCGTGGGGGCGGGGCCGGTGGTGGGTGGAGCCGACGGGGCACGGGGAGGTGAGTGGGGCCTTGTTGGCGGGAACGGAGGGGCGGGGCCGGCGGCGGGACCGGCGGGGGGCGGGGCGTCCTGGAGCTTAGCCCGGGGCGCCGCGCGCTGAGGTGAGGGCCTCTCTGACGGCCGGTCAGGAGGGTCCCGCGGAGGTCAGAAGGAAGGACGATGTGGGGAGCGAGGCTCGAGCGAGGGACGGTGCGAAGGTCAGGTGCAGGGAATCGCTCTTGCGCTGCAGGATTTGCCGGGACGCCAGGGCCGGGGGTGGGGGTGGGGGTGGGAGGCCGCCCTGAGGTGTGGAGGGCGCGGGCGGCGGAGGGCGCGGAGGAGCGGAGGGCGCCGGGGGTCCCTGGGATGCTGAGACCGGCGCCGTCATCGACCGTGGGGTGTTCGTCGTGGTGAGGCCGAGGCCCCCAGGCCTGGCGGACCACAGGGGCCAAAAGCCCTGGAGCCCCGGGCAGGGAAGGGCTGCGTCGCCGGCCAGGGCCAAGCGCGGGAGAGCTCGCGCGGTCGCTGGAGTTCGGGGGACCCCAGGAGACACTGGAGGTGAGAGCCTTAGCAGCAGCAGGAGGTGACCGCGCTTGGAAGGGACAGCGGGCGCAGCAGGGCAGGGGGCGTCCGGAGGCTGCAGCCGTGGTCCCTAAGGCAGGTCGAGGACCCACAGAAGACTCCAGCACGTCTGCATCTGCCCCGTGGGATCCCCAACATCCAGTTACTACTGCCCCAGCACGTCTGCATCTGCCCCGAGGGATCCCCAACACCCAGTTATTACTGCCCTAGCACGTCTGCATCTGCCCCGTGGGATCCCCAACATCCAGTTACTACTGCCCCAGCACGTCTGCATCTGCCCCGTGGGATCCCCAACACCCAGTTACTACTGCCCCAGCACGTCTGCATCTGCCCCGTGGGATCCCCAACATCCAGTTACTACTGCCCCAGCACGTCTGCATCTGCCCCGTGGGATCCCCAACACCCAGTTACTGCTGACCCTAGCACGTCTGCATCTGCCCCGTGGGATCCCCAACATCCAGTTACTACTGCCCCAGCACGTCTGCATCTGCCCCGTGGGATCCCCAACACCCAGTTACTGCTGCCCCCAGCACCTCTGCATCTGCCCCGTGGGATCCCCAACATCCAGTTACTACTGCCCCAGCACGTCTGCATCTGCCCCGAGGGATCCCCAACATCCAGTTACTACTGCCCCAGCACGTCTGCATCTGCCCCGTGGGATCCCCAACATCCAGTTACTACTGCCCCAGCACGTCTGCATCTGCCCTGTGGGATCCCCAACATCCAGTTACTACTTCCCCCAGCATGTCTGCATCTGTCCTGAGGGATCCCCAACATCCAGTTACTACTGCCCCAGCACGTCTGCATCTGCCCCGTGGGATCCCCAACATCCAGTTACTACTGCCCCAGCCTAATAAGCGTTTCTGCACCTACCTCTGAATTCCCACCCGGAAGCTGGAAGGGAGAGTGGACAGAAGAAAAACCACCCACAGGCACCTTCCCCCAATGGAATAGCGGGGTTTTACACGATCGAGGATACTCAACTCTTCCTATCCCAGTTCAGAAACAAATGAAAAAGACACAGCAGTAAGATGGGTGGGTATCAACATATCAACTTGGCCGCAAACAAAAAGCTAGTTTGAAGGACAGAGCTTAAATCTGCAAGCTAGGAAATCTCCCCTGAATCAGAAACACATATCCCCTAGCCTCCGCCCCCCGCCCCTCGCCCTCCGCCCCAGTCAAACCACAGACCCCCAGAAAGAATACCCAGAGGAGCCTGAGCACACTCTGTTCTCTGAAATTCAACCAAATGAGTCACTCCACTTCTCTGGAAGCAGAAAGAGACTAAGTTTTTCTACAGGTAAATCCCTCCATGTAGAAACATGAAGAGTAGGAATAAAGGGCTTCAGCCTGCATGGAATCTCAGACTCTGAATCTGGCAAAGCTAGGAGAGGGAAGAGGTTTCAATTGGAAAAGAGTTTTAGTTTTGGTATTTTAGTGGACTGGACTTTTTTATGAGCAAAATAACCCGCCTTTGTAATATTTAAAAGAAAAGAAAAAACTGTAAAATACATCTGAGAATTGACACAGGTAAGCCTTCTAGGGGCAGTCATGAGAAAAAAACAATGTTTCTATCTGCTTACATACTGCCACATCCAGCTTTTTTATTAAGCCAGATTCTAAGGCTCTGAGGATTTTGGTCTGAACAATTGGGTATATGGTGGTGGTCATTTACTAAAATAGAGAAGGTGTCTTTTACTTATTTAGAGACAGGATCTCAGCCTGTCACCCAGGTAGGGATGCAGTGGCACAATCATTAGCTCACGGCAGCCTCAAACTCCAGGGCTTAAGTGATCCTCTGGGCTCAGTCTCCTGAACAGCTAGGACTACAGGCCTGTGCCACCACACCTGGCTAATTTTTAAGTTTGTTAGAGACATGGGTCTTACTACATTGTCTAGGATGGTCTCAAAACTCCTGGCCACAAGCAGTCCTCCCACTTTAGCCTTCCAAAGTGCTGGGATTATAGGCATGAGCCACCGTATCTGGCCTAAAATAGGAAAAGTTTGATTGGAAATTTCAGCTTAAGTGGGGACAAGTTATACTAGAGATGCTTAATAGATATTCAAGTGAAATACTGAGTAGGCTGGCATTCAGGAGAGAAGATCATGCTGGAGACAGGAATTTGGGAGTCATTTGCTTTCAGGTAGTGTTTGAAATCATGAGATTGGACAAGATCAACTAGGAAATGCACACACAAAAAGGAGAATTCCAGCAGGAGCCCTGGGGCACCAACCTTTTGCAGTATTGAGGAGTGGCCACAGAGAGAAGGAAAACCAGAAGAATATGTAGTCATAATATGAGTGAAGATATGGTGATCTTTGCTGAGGCTTTGAAGGGATTGCAAAATGATGACTGAATGTATTATTGGATGTAACAAAGCACTGTACTGGTGACTGACAAGAGCTATCTCAGGAGACATGGGGAGAAAACTCTTAATGGCAGAGTTTTTTTTTTTTTTTTTTTTTTTTTGGAGACGGAGTTTCGCTCTTGTTACCCAGGCTGGAGTGCAATGGCTCGATCTCGGCTCACCGCAACCTCCGCCTCCTGGGTTCAGGCAATTCTCCTGCCTCAGCCTCCTGAGTAGCTGGGATGACAGGCACGCGCCACCATGCCCAGCTAATTTTTTGTATTTTTAGTAGAGACGGGGTTTCACCATGTTGACCAGGATGGTCTCGATCTCTCGACCTCGTGATCCACCCGCCTCGGCCTCCCAAAGTGCTGGGATTACAGGCTTGAGCCACCGCGCCCGGCCCAATGGCAGAGTTTTAAAAGAAATTTCCAATTAAACATGGCAGACTGAGCATAGGCATTAACTTCTACTTCCTGCCCAAACACTACTCACTTAAGTAATAAAGACATAAAAATCCACAAAGAATGGGAGAGGAGACACCAGCAAGCAAGAGAAGTCAACAAAATTACAAAGGCAGGGAATGGATGAAGAAGTTATAACTGACTTAGCCAGACAAAGCTGAAACTTAACATTTGTGGGTGAAGTCAAGAAGAAAGAGACCAGTCCTGCCAGCGAACACCAGGAAGGTGTAGAAATAGGAATAACTGGTGGAAAATTTTTGTAAGGAACATGTGACCATAGATTCCCCTCTCCTATTTGGGTGGAGGAAGCCTGCAGTTGAATCAGAGTAGGTGTGACCTCAAGCATGAGGCATACCTGAGGGCCACTGAAAGCAGAGGGATTGAGTGAAAGTCTACACATGTGAGTCCAGGCTCACTTCTCCCACTCAGCCAGACAGCATGAGATAGGAGTGGAAGGATCCCTCTGGAGCAGCTGGCCCGCAAGAAACATCCTGCAAACACTGGCAACTATGACCCAGTAGCAAAACAGAAACCTATTAGCTGTCAGGCTGTGTACCCATTGACACAGTTTCCATCAAGCTCCTTAGAGCCCCATCATCAGCATGAGCCAGACATTTGAGGAAAACAGTGCAACATTACCTCCAGCCATGCAAGTGATCCATCATGGACAGCTAGTCCAGTCAAGCCTTCAGATGACTGTAACCTCAGGCAATACCTGACTGCAGTTGCACGAGAGATCCCAAGAGAAAGCTGCCCAGCTGAATCCTCCGCAAATTTAAGCTACTATATTTGGGATAATTTGTAGCAATAAAATTAATAGCAATAAAAACTAGAAAAAAGGACTACAAAATACCCAGCACAATAAATTGGGCAAGGGGTTGGTGAGGGGGTGGGGAGGCAACATATCGAGTAATGTTGTTGAGAAATTTGAGACCACCAGGAATAGAGGTGATCTCAAGAATTTCTGGCAACAAAAAAGCAAAAACACAAGGGAATGATTTCCAATCTAAAATTCTATTCCCATTCAAATGATGAATTGAACATAGGTCAAAAAAAAGAAAACCCATTTCTTTACTCTCACAAC